AACCAATAAATCAAAGAAGTAAATTTAATCATAATTAAACAATTAAATAAAACCAACCAACAAATAATTATAATTAACCAATTAAATAAAACAAATACATAATAACTATTAACCAATTAAATTAAAATAAATTCTCACTAAATCAACTAAGCAAATAAACCACATAAGTCACATAATTAAATCAAAATGCTATAAAAACAAAATTAAATTCCCTTTTTATCCTTTTGAAAACTAGGGGTATTACAGAAACTCTGGAGATACAACCAAACAACACGAGAAAAAGTAGATTCAAGTCAAACCTAATAAGAATGGTCTCTGCAACCTCAATTGATGTGGAGCTCTTAGCTACAAAGTTTTGATCTTGGCTGGTCAAAAGACGAACTGAACAGACGACCAATCTACAATTAAAATATGTGGCTGGCAATTTGTGAGATTTGATTCGATTGAACAAAGAACCCTAATACATACGAGTCAAATAAAAGCCAATGGAAAAAGTAAGAAACATATATTTTAGACAGAGAGAAATAAGACGAGGGAGAGAGAGAAAAATATTAGTATTAGAAATGTGAGAGGCTCAGAATAATGGAGCCCAAGAAGCAGTGGTCAAACCAACCATAAACACCCATAGTTTTTTCAATTAAAGATGTTATCAAGTTCTTTCGGCAGTCTTGTCTGATAGGCAATTCTCGGGCAACGCGATAAGCCAAGCAAGAGAGCCATCTTATCTCGAACCAGGTCTCCTACATGCACTGAAACTGGCAGGGGAAATGACCACGCTAACTCCCCTAAAAACCATACACTTTTCCCACCAATTAACAGCCAATGTAAAGGGGATCTCTCTCGTAATCAATTTCATTCCACAGTTGGAAATGCAATTCAAATGTTTTTATGAAGTCTTAGAAAGAGATGGTATATTTTTGTACAACCACCCCCTGGGGGCGTGCGAACTAAGTAATGCCCCCCTAAACTATTTAAAAAATATAATTTAAAGACAAAGCCAACAGGTACCGACACCGAAAATATTAGATTACCATAGTACCCTCGAGTAAAACCATGTCGTTTCACTATTTTAATTACTGTTGTTGATGATGTGTCAATTGCAATCAGAACAGCCAATAACATTGTGACACAACATCACCATATCACAATAACCAGCTAACATTACTTGCCAAAAACCACCTTATACTAAACGAAATACCACCTGTATAGAAGCTAGCCAAACACCACCTCTACAGAGCGCTATTTCTCTCTTTACAATCTCCCTTACGCTCTCGTTCTCTGGCAGTCACGACATTATCGATCAATTGCAACCTACGACATTGCCGACCAGCCCACGACCGTCACCGGTGACAACCACAGACGACTGCTGATATTTTGATTTGGACCTGATTTGGCAAATAAAATAGAATAAATCGCGAAATCAACCTCAATTAAATCATTGATGGAGACGGAGTGAAGCTTTGAATTTTGTTCTTGTTGTTGTTGTTGTTGTTCTCTCCCGGCAGCCATGGCTACTGTTGCTCTATGAATCTTTGGATTCCGAAGCCACCATGGTTGAGTTGTCTACTGTTGTTGGGTTTGAATATTTGGGTAAAAAAGCATTTTTTTGGAGAATTGAAGGTGATGATGGATTGGTGTGGTATGGGGATTATTTTCTTTGTACGTGGGTGATGAGTTTGCAGATTTGTTGATTTGGAACACTCCATGAGCCAGAGTCCATGATTTGATTGTGTTCAGTTGCAATTTGTTTTCCTCTAAAATTCATTTTTTTTTTCATCGTGATTAATGATTCAACCATTTTCAATCTTCTAAGAAATAGCAAAATAAGGATTGAAAGAAGTTATATTATGTGTTTATATATATATTCATGTCTTCCAGCAAGATGCTTTGTTGGTGAGCAAAAAATATTGAGGATTTTTCACTTTACGTATGTCTTTCTTTCTATATAAACATATGGGGAAAAATCTAATAACCCCCTTCTACTATTTTTTTCCATCAAATTGCCCCCAGTAAAATTAAACACCCCCCTCAACTATAAACCGTCATCATATTGCCCCCTTTCCATTCAAACCCGTTAACCTGGCGTTTGAGTAATAGCGCGTGACCAACACGCGCTTATCAAATTTTTTTTTTCCCCTAAAATACCCCTTCCCTATCCTCTTCTGTGTTATATTATATATGTGAGTGTGTTGTGTACTATATATATCTTCTCAAAGACACGAACAAGTCCATATAGCGGTCACCGGCGCGGGGTGCTCCAGTAAAATCCATAGAATCTGGAAACCAACCATGCACAGAGGTGACGTATTAAGGGTATTAGGGAAATGAATTAACTTATGAAATGGTGAAAGTCTTGAGCTTATGTGTCATATAGCAATAGATTGCTGATAAACCTGATATGAAAAAATCCAAAATCAGAGCAACCTCATAAATTGCATAAACAATAACAACAATCTCTTGTAAATTTTCAATTGGAATTAGCTCATTTTGTGGAATATTGTTTTTCTTGACGATTTCAGAGTACTAGGATTCGAATGAATAAGAATTGCTTATTGGACTGTGACTGTGCTTCACATACTCCTTATAGAGGTCTTGATTTTTGGATGAAGAGAATGAGAGAGGATTTAGTGAGAGAAATATTAATTCCAAGGGATTTCAAACAATATGCCTTTTGGATTGCACAAAAGAAAGCAATTTAGAAAGAAAACCAAGCCAGATATGAGGAGAGATGTGACAGTGTATGTGTGTGTGTGAGAGAGAGAGAAAGGAGGGAATGAAGGGAGGCTTTGCAGCCACAAAGAGAGGACTTAGTGTGAGAAATAATATTCCGAATGATGATATCAAACAATGGTACTATGCCCTTTGAAATGCACAACACAGCCCAAAGAAAAAATACTAAAAAAACACCTTATCTCCAAAGACCCCTGTATTCAACCCTCTTTCCACAACGCCACTGCCTGCAATGCCTCCAAGCCATTCCGCCGCCACCTATCCCTCCGCCTCTCCAACTGCTCTGACGATCTCGAAATGTCTATCACCGCCCTCAAATCTCTCTCCACCCTCACCAATCTCGCGTTCATCAACTGCCCCATTTCACTCATTCATTTCCCCTCTAAACTCACATCCAATCTCCACTAGTTCACCTGCATCAACAGCCTCAAGAAGCTCACCGAAGTCTTGCTTGGCTGGATGCTGAACCTCACCGATTTAACCGTCTCCGGCGTGACTGTAAACGCCAGTGGTTCGTCGATCATCTTCGGAAACATGAAGAAGCTCAAATCAGGAAAATCATAAAGAAACATTAAATCTTGTATTTGTAGGTTGATATATATGGAAAATCATTTTCTGTGAACTCTTCCATTGTTTGCGTGTTTATTGTCTAGTACCATGAATTATTTCAGTAAAATTTTGAAGTTACAGGCATTTGTAATACGACCGCGTTTTGTTGCCTCCAAATAATACATTTATTTTGTATTTAAATTTCATATAATATTATGGGGGGTATAGTTGTCATTTCACGGCAGGTTAACAGGTTTAAACGGAAATGGGGCAATATGATGACGGTTTATAGTTGAGGGGGGTGTTTAATTTTAGTGGGGGCAATTTGATGGAAAAAAATAGCAGAGAGGGGTTATCTAATTTTTTCCCTAAACATATATACGCATCATCTGTTTGCTCAACTTCTCCTTAGTTTTAGGATTTTATTTATTTATTTATTTATTTATTTTTTATTTCATACTACAACGGCAATAAGGGTAATCTTGCCATTTTGAAATTACAGCAAGGTCACGTGCCAAATTTTTAAGCAAAACCTACGAAACAGTGTCACCCGGTGTGTTTTTTTTTTTGCAGAAATTGGAATAGTTTAGGGGGTTTTTAAAAAAATTGAAGTTCAGGGGGTTCTTTGGGAGAGAGAGTAAAGTTCGGGGCGGGGCGGGGTTGGGGGGGTGGGGGTTGCACTTTACTCCTTACAATAATATTATAAGTTTTAAATTTAATAATTAAATTATAAGGATAGTTTTATCATTTTATACTTATATAGGGGCAGTTTGATAATATTTTTAGTTTAGGGGGGTTTTAAATTTTAGTGGGTTTTTTTTTTTTTGCACTAATTTGATAGTATAGGGGGATTTTGTGATTTTTTCCCATTTATTATTTGATTAATGGATTAACATATTTATCCGTTTAATAAACAGGTCGGATTAATGTTGAGAATTCTTGATACGAATATTAAATGGGCCGAGTTTGGATTTACCTATTTAGTATAATACATTTATATCGACATGACAAGATTATAACTCACAAACACGAATTGCTACCCCTACAGCCAATGCCTTTCACCACCGACACCGCCTTCCTTTGCCGCAACCACTATCACTACCGCCACCACCTTTCATCACCACCACCGTTATTGCCTTTCACTGTCACTGCCTTATACCGCTACCACTGCTTTCCCCCACCACCTCCACCGCCTTCCATCACCGTCGCTGCCACCACCACTGCCTTCCACTACCTCACTTCCATTGGGTTCCATCACCGCCACTTACACCATTATCTCCTTCCACCACCACACTATTGCCACCGCTTCCCATCATTTCCACCTTTCACCAACACCATTGCCACCGCCGCCACCTACACCACAACTGCTTTCTACCTCCACCACCGCCACTACTACAATTTATTTTTAAAAAATTATAAAAGAATGTTATTTTATTAATTTAATTTATTTTTTAGGAACAGAAAGATAAATTGTTTGAGAGCAATTTTATATTTTGTGAGATTAAACACCACCCCTTTATTTTCTCCGTCTCTCCTAAAATTTTGGCAATAATTTAAAACGTTAAAGGCAATAATTTAAACGTAAAGGTGTTGTATGGTAAATTGGTAATTGGCTTCATATTGTATTATACTCCTTCCATGTATGGTTGTATACCATGTGTAAGCGCGTCATACCACATCTTTTGGTTCCCAGTGCCACCCCCAACCATACCTTCATCCTTAACCCCTTCCCCCCCTCCCCCCCTCTCTCTCTCTCTCTCTGCAAACAAAACAACGAACAGCTACAAGAAGTGAGTAAAATAATAAAAATCTTGTCATTCTTCTTCTTCTAGGACAAGCAGAAAACACAGAGACCCCAAAACACAGCAATGGCGACCACATCTGTCACTCTCCTTCCTCCTCCTATCAGCTTCACCCCGGAGCGTCCGCAACCTCTCTTCCCATCAAGCACCTCCTCAGTTTCTTCTTCTTTCTTCGCTGGTGGGACTAATCTTTGGACACACAAAAGATTTATCTCTCTTTCATCACCATCATCGTCATCTTCTTCTCTATTCAATAAGAAGATATCTGCAAAGCGCTTTGGAACAGTAGTTGCGGCTTCAGCAGATTATTACTCCACTCTTGGGGTTTCTAAATCTGCCAATAGCAAGGAAATCAAGGCTGCTTACCGAAGGTTAGCTCGCCAGGTACTAAAACCCAATTAGGGTTTTTGAATTTTTTGATTATTTGACAACAGCTTGACATTGTTACTTCTCCACGGGTTCCACTTGATTCCCTTCAACTGAAATCTTTAATGAGTAATTTAAAATTTCGTTCTTGTTTCTGTTTGAAGTGCGAATTGAGTTTTTATCTTGGGGTCATTTGAAGTCAACATCAATACGTCACCTCATTGACAGAAAATGAGAAATTTCACTTCTGTGATCATCATCCTTGTCTTTCACATACCAAGTGCAATTTATTTTTGTGTCCATGTCTTCCATTAAACTGGATTGGGTCAGTTTCAGAGGCTTTGTTTTGATAGTTGGTTTGATAGTAGCTGATGATATTACAATGGCAAAAATGGTTTGCTTTTGTTACGGGCAGTCTATATTTGAGATTGAGTCTTAAATATCCTTCGTGATGCACATGGTAGGTCGGTTTCACTAGAAGTGTCTCTCGTTTTTTTTTTTAATGAAAAAGGTAAAATGTGATGGATTTATAAAGAAGCTTTTACTCAAAATTAGGCATCAGATCGAACAGGTAGGAATTAAAGACTCAAGTTAGGCTTTACTGTTCAACCCTGCCTACCAATATAGTTTCAGTTTTTTATAAGAAAATTTAATTTAAATAATAATTTTCTAAGATTTTTGACAATTATCAAACGCGTTGCCAAACTGTTTTCACAATTGTTTCGGGTAGCCCATTTTAATCTGCTCAAAAACAATTTATTGTTTGCTCTGGGATGAGTTATATACATTACATGTTATCATATGAATGATTCCTATACATGCATTTTTATCAAGGATATGAGTCCTTGCACATTTCATACTTTTCTTGTTTTTGGGCTGATGTAAGTTGGCTAATTTGATAGAACTCATAATTAAGTATTTTTGTTAGTAAATTGAATTCACTTCTTTGTTAACACACTCAGATTTCCAAATGTTTCTTAAATGATGAATATTTCTTTACTTAAGTTTTTGAAGCTAAATGCTGTTTGGGTGTTCCTATAGTCAGGCCTGACTCAATTTGGGTGAGGCTGCTTATCATGTTTATGAAAAAGCTAGTTAAAGTTGGTTTGCTTTTACCTAAACACTCTGCTCCTTGAGCATTGTTATATTTATTCAAATTTAATATGAAAACATGGTTCTGCAAGTTCCGATTTAGTGAAAAAAGTTACCAAACTGTGCTCATCTAAAACCCGCCACACTGTATTCAGTTGGCTTGTTTAGGAACTTCCCTGACAGAAACTTGTAGTTAGGACTGAAATAGTCCATCCTCTCTAAATTTTCTCCCATGACTCCTGACATCTTACTTTTGTTATACTCTTGTAGTATCACCCAGATGTGAACAAACAACCTGGAGCAACTGAAAAGTTTAAGGAGATAAGTGCAGCATATGAGGTATGTATCGAGGTCTAACAATTTTAGCTTTATCTTGATGCCGCAAATCATCATTTTTTAATCTCATTTGATTACTTCTCATCATACTCTAGCAATATGGATGGTTGTTTGGTACATTCCCTAATTTGATGAACAATGGTCACTGTTCATCAGTTAATAGGTGGCCGATCTTAAAACTTTTCCATTACTTCTCCATGACAAACTGTATCGTCGCAGTGATCTGACATAAATTTACAGTTGGCTGTGTACCTGTACCAATCCACCTCTTTTTGCATCCAGCCTTGGTACCAGCAATTGGAGAGTCAAGATAACCTGTTTATGATTTATTTCACAACAATGGTCTTGTACTTCTCTCTTTATTTATTTTTTTCCTAATAAAAAAGTAACAAAGATATTCATTCATAAACACATTCAACAAATGAAAACAAGTAGAACAGATCAATATGACAGAGTTAAGGAAATAGGAACTTGATAATTGGTTCAACAATTAAACAATAGTTATATAAAAATCAGTGTTATAGACACACACACACCAAAAAAAGAAAAAAGAAAAAAAAGAAGGTATATAACTATATATGAATAAGTGAAACAGATCAATATAACAGATTTAAGATATAGTAACTTGATAATTGGTTCAATAGTAGTATAGAACAATAGTTATATAAAATTCAGTGTTATAGAAACAAAAATTAAAACAGTATAAATGAACAATTTAATTAAACCAAAGTTATTCTAAACAGGATCCAAGAAAAGACACACATAACAAAAGCACTAAGACCAGATCCAGAAAACAGAGAAATTTTACCAAAAAAATATTTCTCAGCAAATTTGTACTAATAACTGATCACAGCCTATGCACTAAGAGTCTCCATATCAACTACATATAAATGTAAGAATATACAATATTTGATGTTTGTCTATATTTTCGTGCATATATCGATGAGCATGTGTTTTTTGTGTAAAAATAAAGAGAAAAACTTTGCTGGGACTGATAAAGTAAGAAATCGCTGGTTAGTTTAATTTTATTGAGCAAAGATCCTCAATTATATCATGCAAAGATAAAATCTTCTCGATAGTTGGCTATCAAAAATCACTGGTAAAGAGCCCTGTGATTGTTGAACCCCAATTATTTGATATCAAGAATTGAAACAACTTCTGAAGTCAATTGTTCAGATTCTTTAAGAACAAAAGTGGAGGAGGATCTACAGTTCCGACTTCCGGCAGGTGATTTTTGCCGTGGCTAGAGTTTGATTGGTAGTGTTTGAACTTCTATTTATGAGTAATAGATCCGTTTATAATTGTTTATAAGGGATCCGTTCCCCTTTTGAATGCTTTTTTTTTTTTTTTTTAAATACAATCTTACTCTAGGAAGCACGGACACTCCAAAATGGGCGAAGAATCCGTGTCCGACACGTGTCGGACACGGACACGCGTCGGACACGCCAAAAAACGTGTCTGGAATTTTTTTATTTTTTTTTATTTTCGGACACGGCTTGGACACGGCTCAGACAGCTCGGACACGGCTCGGACAGCTCGGACACGGCTCAGACACGGCTCGGACAGACTTTTCTGGAATTTTTTTTTTTTTTTTTTTAATTTTTAATGCTGATATGTTCTATTTTTTTTTTTGTACTACCCTAAAGATGCTGATATATATATATACTAACCTAAAGATGCCACAAATCGCCGTGTCCGTGTCCTAAAGATGCTGATATATATATATACTAGCATATCAGTGATATATATATATATATATTCCAACTTAAACATATCAGTGTTTTTTTTTTTTAAATTATTTATGCTGATATATATATATATATATATATATATATATATATATATATATATACTATTCGCCGTGTCCGTGTCCTAATTTTTTTGGATTTGCCGTGTCGCCGTGTCCGTGTCGTGTCGTATCCGTGTCCCGTATCCGTGTCCGTACTTCTTAGATCTTACTTATCAAATACACACACACACACACACACACACACACACACACACACCTTTGTTTATAATTCAATAGCATATGGTACGTAGCTACTTGTGATATGGTCTTTCATCCATTAAGAATACAATTTGGCTAGCATAAAGGACTTCGTTTCTTTTTCTTAGTTGGTACTCACACACACATGCCTCTACCGACGCTTGAACCGCTGACCTTCCTTTGGGAATTAAGGACTTGATACCGCTAGGCCATTGGCCCGTTGGTTAGGACTTCGTTTCATCCAAAGAAAATATATAGATCGGTTGTTTTTATGAGTCAATATTGACTTGTTATGAGAAATGAAGTGGGATACAACTTAAAGGAGGGAAATGACTCCCCGTGCCAGAATCTTTTACCTAACAAAACATAACATAGTTAACATATATAGTATCAGGTTTTTATTTCTTTTGACCTTTTCTCTGTCTCATTGGAAAATGAACTTTTTCCCGAAGCTGTAATATTTTTCTTCCCTCTGTACGTCAGAAATCATGTTGGCTGACATTTATTACAAAAAAAGAAAATTATCCTGATTTTAGGCACATAATATAGTCCAGGGTGGGCCCATGGGTCCACTTTGGTCTCTTTCCGTCCCTTGAGTTCATATATTTGTATGTGTGTTTGTCTGCACGTGTTATCTACCTAGAATCATCCGTACATGCATAAATTAGTATAATTTGTGCATAACGGCATAAGGTTAAAAGTCTTATTTTTTTATTTTTTATTTTTCCTGAATGTAAGGTTAAAAGTCTTATGCACAAAGGAATAAAGTTCAAATTTCTTGTTTAATTTTAGAGAGCTATCTCTATTAGTGAATGCTGTCCTATGTTAACTTGAATGTGATTAAGGATTTTGATAGGCGGGAATCGGACTTAATGGCCTAAATTGAATTCCGTTTAGGTTCAATTTGAGTTTGTAGGTAGAGTTGGTATTTTTCAATTAGCCTTCTTGCTCTAGTTATGTTGCTTGAGCTTCCAAACCTACTAGTAGTAGCCTATTCTAGTATTTTGTCAGGGAACTTTTAATATTTTATTTCAAAGAGTTATATATATGAGTTTCAACACCCTAATCCTGTTTATATATGTTATAAACTTAATGTTTTCTAATTGCCCAATGGTCCAATCCGTGTGTCTTGTTTATCCCAGTATTTTTGTACTAAATTGTCTTTTGATTTACTTAGAATTGCATTTTTTAATGGGCCTCCAGTTTATGCTTCAATTTTATGGGCAAGATTCTTCTTGATCTAATTTTTGGAAGCATATATAACAGGACATATTTATTCTTGATCTAATTTCTGCTTGCGATCATTCTCAATCATAAATCCGCCTCTATCTATCATCTTAGTTATATTGATTTCCACATATATTTTACTCTTTATCTTACTTTCTTCTCATACCTGGTGCATTCACTTGCATTTTGTTTGCAATAGTTCATTCACTGGCATTTTGTGCACTTAAAGTACTATATCTCAATGTTTTCACATTCATTATATTGTTTTTTTTTTTTTTTTTTTTTTTTTTTTTTTTTTTTTTTTTTTTAATTCTGAAGTACAACATTGTCAGGTGCTATCAGATGATAAAAAGAGGTCTTTGTATGATCAATATGGTGAAGCTGGAGTGAGAAGTACAGTAGGGGGACAGGCTGGTGCTTATACGGTAATACTTTTAGTTGAATTTTTCCTGTTATATATTTCATCTTTAAGAATGTATAGAAGGTAGGTTATTTTTGGAAGAAAAATGTGTAGAAGGTAGGTTGCATATGCTAGAAGCACTGTAGAACTTCAATTGGTCCTCCAGATTGCTGAATTTTGGGTTTATCTAAGAATCATAACCATCGATTTGGTGTTATCTTCTTTCTTTCTTTTGATGTGTAAATAAAAGTACACGTTAAAAGGCTATGAATGGGATTTATTTAAAAAAAAAAAAAAAAAAAAAAAAAAAGAGGCTATGAATGGGGTTCAACCCATGTACACATGTTTTTGTAAATCTCGACCTCAGTAAACTACAGTAAAAAAAAAATCATATTCTCTACAGAATCCAAAGAACTCTTAGGAGAGGGGTTCACCTTCTCCGTCAGTCAACAAAAGAGAATTGCCAAAAGAATGCTCTTCAATCTATGAATGGGCTCCTCTACTTCTTTGAAGACCACGGGCGATTCCATTTCTCCCAAATACACACAGGGGATGCATTCCAAGTCTTTTTCTTCTTCTTGCTAACACTGTCAGCTCTCCAACTAAGCAGCAAATTCCTTATATTGTGGAAAAACCCACAACACCCAGAACAATGCCATCAACACTTCTGTTACTGTACAAGTAATAAGGGGATGGTCCACCAACCGGCCCACATTCATCACCATCACCATTATCCTTTCCTTTATCCTGTACCAATGGGGTCGGCCACATGGATTCTCTTTTTCCAATCTTTTATATTGTAAGCCATTTCTCCTACTAGATTTAATTTTTAAAAACCATTTATTATCACTTCATCCCATGTTAGTTTTGGTTGCCCTCTTTGTCTGTTACCTTCTATGCAAATCAATCTTCCTCTCCTCGCCAGTGCATATATAGGTCGGCCTTGAATACCAATTGGCCAACCTTACACATGCAGAACCAACTCAATAGTACTCTGCCTCCATTTCTTAAATTGTTTATCATAAAGATCTTTTTTTTTCCTAGTTTAATCATTACGATCTTCTCATGCATTCCCGACCAAACAAAAGGATCCACCACGGAGGATCCTTAGAACCCCAGGGACCTTTACAAGAACTGCACTAGTTGCTTGTTCCAAGCAAAAGTTTAGAAAAAGGCACAAACTCAAGAATCCTTGTCGTTCAAGCTAACATATCACTTCATCTCCAAAATCTCACACTGCAGAGTTTCTAGCAACTTGACCATTGCCTCTACACACCAATCAAGAAAAGAGGAGAAATCTGACTTCCAAATTTAACCACCCATGGAGTTTCTTCAATAATCCACCACTAACTTATCTCTATCAACCACCATCCCTTATGAGTCTGGAAATGAATTCTTCAGGCACATCTTCACACCTCTTATTGTGTCCAAACCTCCCCCTATTTCCCTCCACCTCAAAATAAATTAGAAAAATCTCCCTGCTCTTTCTATATACTCTTTCAGAGACTAGGAGGAGAATTCACCTCCATGGAAGTCTTCCCGTGTGTGCCCCTAATACGATTACCACAACCTCCTCCAAAAATACATTTGGGCATAGGCATATCTCTAAAGTCATTTCCTTGGAAGCTTCTAATCAAATAACACGAGATTTCTAATCCAAAAGCCCCATTATGAATTGGGGAGCAGGCCATGTCCGAATTGAGAAAATGATTGTTCAATTCCTTTTCCAACCAGTCCCCAAAAGAAATCCCTGCAATTTTCTAATTCACGTTACCTTTGATCCTGGAATTGTTAATGAAGGCATAAAGTACATTGGGAGGTTAGACTGTTCAGAGTTCCTTCCGTCAGATAAAATATTGCTACTTCTAGTGCCATTACCCACTGTGGTCCCCACCGATTAATCAAGGGTGTTTGGAGGGATGGATTTGATCAAAGCAGACCTAACCATTGGTTTTAATTGCACAAAGTGGTTGCCCTCAAGATTTGAACATGCGTTCTCTTAATGTATACTTTCACTTAGCAATTCCTGGGAAAGTTTTTCATGAAGTTTGATTTAAGCCTTCAAACATCAATTCCTATTCTCATAGCAAGGGTATGCTACATGTGCAATTTCGTTTTTCTATTTGAATGGTGTTGCAGAGTTCTCTTAAATCCAAATTCAACACAGAGTGATTTCTAGTTTTACTATGTAGAAAGAAGGGAACATTCTATGCCACAATGCAGTATGCACATAGTGTTTGCATGTTCATATGTTGCCAATACTAATTATTTATTTATTTATTTTTTTTCCCCACAGACTAATCCCTTTGATCTATTTGAGACATTCTTTGGTCCTAGCATGAGTAGTTTCCCCGGTATGGACCAAACTGGATTTGGGACACGCCGTCGTAATACTGTTACGAAGGGTGAAGATCTACGGTGAGTCAAGATTTGACTTTAATCTTTTAAGAATACTTTGTGGCTCCTTATAACTAATATTTTTATACATAGTGTTGAACCTATCTTTTTATCGTGTGCATGGAGATTCACTTCTGTTAGGAGGACAACTAAGGATTATAATCTCCATCTCATCACTACATTGTGATTTTCTTTATATCCATGATCTGTGAGATTACTCGTTAAGTGTTCTATTTTGGTGAGTTTGGTTCTAATCTTGTAGGAAATAGGAATATGTCAAGAATGCATGATCACCTTTTTCATGGGGACACTTTGCTTATTAAATGTATTGGCAGAGCTTCCTACTTTCTTAACAATAACACTGGGAACCTTTTTTTTTTTTTTTTTTGATAAAGATAACACTGGGAACTTGTTTGTGGAAAATTGGCAACATGGATGCCTGTGAATTACCCAAGCATAAACAACACATTTTCTAGAGTTGAGTACAATGTCTTCTGAATAGTTTATGTTTGAGGAAAGTTCAATACCATGGTTCTCCTGTCCTGTATTAACGTTCTTTGAAGAACCTGCTGTGAGTTGTTTTCGTTGATTGTATGAGCATGTAATACCCCTTTCTGTTACTATACTAAGACTTGTAAACTTAAAATGACACAGATATGCATGATTGCCTACTGTGAGTGGCTTATATAATGTTTTCAGTTCATGCAAAGTGATTCATCTTCACCAATAGTAGAGCGCTTAGCACCTCTCTGTTGCTGTACAAAAGTTTGTAGACATAAAATGAAACAGATATGTACAATTGCCTGCTGCAAATGACTTATATAATATTTTTAGTTCATGCAAGTACTGAAAAAGAAATGTAGATTTATATTAGCATATTTATGGGTTATGACTAATATCTCAGTTTACTAATTAGTGGTTACTTCATTGTACAGTTTAATAGTGTGTTCCATTTTTTGGTTTGTAGTTGTTATGACATACTGAAATTACTTTTGGGAAACCAGTAGAGTTGACTCAAGATGCAAAATATGTTTCAGTTATGATATGACTTTGGAATTTACGGCGGCTATATTTGGAGCAGAAAAAGAATTTGAACTTTCCCATCTTGAAACATGTGAAGTTTGCACTGGTACTGGAGCAAAGATAGGCTCCAAGATGAGGATATGCTCAACTTGCGGTGGCAGGGGTCAAGTTATGCGAACAGAGCAAACGCCGTTTGGCTTGTTTTCACAGGTAATTGAGTAACTGCTTGTTTCTCACCTGTGGGCACTGTAATTGCTTGCTTCAAATGTTATTCCTCATACCATGTGGAAGCTAAAACTAAAGAGAAACACTGGATTTTGCTTGATGAGCATATGCTAATGGAGCTTGTGAATTTTTTTTTTGTTTTGCAATGGGGAAATTTGCTTGCAATTAGGGGTGGGGCAAAGAGTGCTAAACACAAAAGGATATGACTAAGTGATAACCTATCTTATTGCCACCAAAATAGTCTACCACTCTCTTTCTTAACTAAAGATATCAACAATATAGCTCAGTAACTGAAGTACATCCGGAAACATGTTATTACTGTCATATGAGGTAGTTATTGAAATACGTTGCTTTTAAATGGTCAATCAATGACAATTGGAGAAGCCATCTTTCTTCATTGTATATTAAGGAGAATATTATTGCTTGAGTAGTTTAAGTGCTTCAATGGCGTACCAAAAGTTGAGATGTACTATTATTTGTTTTGAGTGGCTATCAAAGCCAGAAAAGCATAGGCTATTGTCGGCTTTCTTGTAGAAAATAAAAAATACTTTACTTTTTTGGTTTCAACTTTAGCAGTCAAAAACTATTGATTAGAAAAGTGAGTTTACTGAATGACAATAAGGGGGGAGTAATAAAAGAGGAAGGCTAAATATAAGAATGAATGCATTCGTGACAAAAGTTAATATGGAAGTATTACTAATTGGGAACAAAGCGGAGTTTTTTGTTGAGATGGTTTGAAAATCTGATAAGATGACAGATATCTGCATTGGCAAATGAGTGATATGTTTCATATTGATAACACTACAAGGACAGGGGATGACCACAGTAAAAAGGTTGAAGTTGTGAAAAAGGGCGTGTTGTGCTATAAATTAAAATATTACAAAAAAATGTAATGATGAGCCAGGTCATGAGTTTACTTCCTATTTTTACTTATTCATGAATATTTTGATAAATTTTTGTACTTAATTTTCTGCATCGGCACGGTTTGCCTTGTTTTGTTCTTATAACTTATTTTGTTAATTTTGTATGCTTAATTTTCTGCATCGTCACTGTTTTCTTTGTTTTGTTCCTACAACTTGACATTAGAGAACAGTCATTGATTATTCCTTGTATTTTTTATATTTCTAATAACTTCAGGTTTCTGTATGTCCGAATTGTGGTGGGGTTGGTGAAGTCATTTCTGAATACTGTCGAAAATGCTCTGGTGAAGGCCGTATCCGCGTTAAGAAAGATATCAAAGTCAAAATTCCTCCTGGAGTCAGCAAGGGCAGTATTCTCAGAGTTGCTGGAGAGGGTGACGCTGGACCAAAGGGGTATGTAGAAGAGTTATACATTCACTATCTTTTAGCTTCAGCTGCAGCTTCAGTATTTTTATTTTATATATATTTTTTTTAAAACCAAGCAGCAGCTTCAGTATTATCTTTGGGTTGTTGCACTTGTATGTCAAAGTTGATATTCAGGTATACTTGTGTATTACTGAATGATAAACGATCATTAGTACATGGCTTCATCATCTGTAATCATGTCCTTTCTTTCATGCTTACATTTAATAATTGAGCAATGCCTGGGGTGTTGCAAAGTAGCAGTTTCCAGGGACCCCAAAAGAGATCTTACCTCCCATTTTCATTGAAATTAGGAAGTCGGCGTTGTTGAAATGCAATCTGTGACAAAAGTTTATGGTAAAAGTTTGGGCTACCAATTGTGAAAACATGGTAAAAGACTGAGTGGCCACTTTTAAATGGTTTGAAAAATTCGGTATGTATCTAGGTCCACCCTTTTGGCACCCTACATAGTAGGACCAATACTAAGTAAAAGATATTTCCCTAAATAGCCTGTTACCTTTTCCTTTACCCTTTTCTCTTAAAAAATAATTATGACTATATTCTTTGCTATTAGGATATTTCCACCATCCGGAATATAATCATTAAGAAAATGGCCATATTTTTTGGTTTTTGAACCAGTCAGCCAAGAGGTTGTTACCCAGTAGGAAATCAAATCTATAGTACTTGTCAGATTTATATTATTCTACGTACAAATTTTTATTACGTTTAGAGTTCTAAAGAAAATAGGGACCTTCAAATGCAGAATCATTCAGATCCTGGTTAAAATGGATGAATAGTGTCAGAGGACCTCTCATTGTCCCACCACATTTTATTTGTTTCAAATAATCATTCAGAGACCTTGTCAAAATAGGATCTCATCTCTAAGTGAAGTCGTTGCTCCATACATATTGGTCAGTTTCAAGATGAGTATGCATAAAATGCCCCCTCTCCCATCTGTTAACTTTCAATATTTTATCTTTATATATAAATTATAGGGTGAATTACAATTTAGGGCCTAATTGCAGGTGGTTTTATGTTTAGCAAAAACCAACACTAAGACCTCTGTCAGAGTTAGTATCATAATGGGCATTAATTTTTCATCTAAGAAGCACGGACACGGATACGGGACACGGATACGACACGACACGGACACGGCGACACGGCAAATTCAAAAAAATTAGGACACGGACACGGCGAATAGTATATATATATATATATATATATATATATATCAGCATTAATAATTTTTTTAAAAAAACACTGATATGTTTAGGTTGGAATATATATATATATCACTGATATGTTAGTATATATATATATCAGCATCTTTAGGACACGGACACGGCGAATTGTGGCATCTTTAGGTTAGTATATATATATATCAGCATCTTTAGGGTAGTACAAAACAAAAAATAGAACATATCAACATTAAAAATAAAAAAAAAAAAAATCCATAAAAGTGTGTCCGAGCCGTGTCTGAGCCGTGTCCGAGCCGTGTCCGAGCTGTCTGAGCCGTGTTCGTGCCGTGTCCGAGCCGTGTCCGAAAATTAAAAAAAATAAAAAAATTCCAGACACGTTTTTTGGCATGTCCGACACGTGTCGGGGCGTGTCCGACGCGTGTCCGTGTCCGACACGTGTCGGACACGGATTCTTCGCCCATTTTGGAGTGTCCGTGCTTCCTAGTTTTTCATGCAAAATTTCATTGTTTCCCTTCATTGTTCTAACAGTATTTTAATAAAAAAAATGTATGGCACGAAAAGAACAAATTACACCTACCTCTCTTTATCCAAAAATTCACAAACGTCTCTCTATTCCCTCTCTTCCCGGTGCCTTTATTCTCTCTCCACTCATTCCTCCATAACGACCGCTACCTTTCTCTTACTTCTCCCATAAACGCTATCTCAGAAGAACCAATTACACACACATAAACAGGACCTTTTCTCTTAACACCATTGCCGGCAACCACTAGCTGCCACCACCACCACCAATGCGCCTTCTTTCCTTTACTCCTCGATTGCCACCATCTCATTTACTCTCTTCTCTCCACCCTTTCACTGCCAGGGCCTCCTCTGTTCTCTTTTTTTCCACCCCTTTACCGCCATGACCCTAATCCATCTCCACCGCCAAGCACTGCCACCTCACTCGTGTTCACCATCTTATCTCGTGTCTCTCACTGCTTCTAGTGTTTCTTAAGCAAAAAGAGATTGTCAAAAAGACCCATCTTTGTGGATTGAAATGTTTAGAAAGATACATCTGGATATGTTGCATGCGTAGGTGTGTTTGTGTGAGAATTCAAAATGACTTGTCTTTGTGGGTGTAAGTGTGATGTGAGAATTGGAGTTAAAAGACTCGACTCTCTACTGTGTGAGTGAATGGTTTAAAACGACCCATCTGATGTGTTCAAAGCACCGTCGTCAGCGACTAATAGAGGGCTTAATGACGTTGGTTTGGGGAACAGAAATTCAAAACACTGTACCAATTTGAATTCTATTCTCGAGAGAATGTAAATATGGATGATTACGTATACACACAGTGGGCCAGAGTTGATGGTTAGATCTGTGAAGATGGTAGAAAGAGAAACAGTTGGGAATTATAGAAAGAGGAGAAAGAAAAAATTGGTGTTTGGATATTATTATTATTTTTTCACAATGTGTCCTTTGCCATGGCCTATCATTATCTGCTCTCTCAAAATCTATACGACAGCTAATCATGATTCCTCCCACAAATTAGCTAGCTTCAAAATATTCCCATAATTTATTCATCTATTCAATCTTGTAAATGGTGATTATGATAAGAACTTGAAGAGGACCACCTCCATTGATCCGGATTTGCATGTAAGGTGTGATTTGATAAGAGGTGAGTAGAAGAGAAGTAGAGATGGAGAATAGAAAGCAAAAGAGTGGATAAAATTGTCCAGTAAATAAGTGTTAATGAGACATTTTTGTCATTTGAAGTCATATTTTAGGGTTTAAAAGGTCTTTTTAGTCAATCAACAGGTAAACATGTCATTTCACAAGGTGTTAAGTTACAGACCTAACAACTAGTTAAAGGGAGGGGGTGGTAGTTTTCAAGCGCCAAACCTTTTTTTCGGTGCTTGTTTAGGTTTTCGCAAAATTTAAAACCTCCTGTAATTAGGCTGTAGCTCAGGGGGTGTCTCTGTAATTTATCCTCAATTATATTTTATGCTCAATTGAATTCTTGTAAGTTAATTTTTACATTTACAACTTTTATGGCATTGTTTCATTATACGTGTATAGGACAAATTAATTTTTAATAGCATATTGTGTTTGTTTTATCATTTTCCCTTTTCTGTGGGATATCCTTTTTTTCCAAGTGTCATATTCATTAGAAAGGAATTTACATGAAAGTAAAGGGGTGGAGGTTTCCTCAGTGATGCTGAATGGACAAAAACTACTAAAGACATGTTGGTTTGAGTAAAGCTAAAACTAAGGTATGTTATTACTGAAAAATATTGATTACCGTCACTTCCCCTCTTGCAAAAGCTTCTGCTGCTTAGCAGTTGCCACTAATAGACATCCAGACAAGATGCATTCAACTGACTGGTCAATTGCTTCCTTGCTGAAAGCTGTAAATATCCAGCATACTTCATAACTTTCTTCAACCTATTTGATAACAATTGAATAATCATCTTCATATTCCAAAAAGAAAGAAAATGGGAAGAACAATCACCTTAAACCAACAGATCTTAATATCCACCATTAGAGGCTTCCTTTGAACTAATCAAAAGTGTATCCAACTTTAGCCTTGAAGCCTGTCGAATAACATGTGTTTTGAGAAGTGAAAATCCTTGCGCACTTGTCTTGTTTTGATCACTTCCTATACCTACTTTTAAAAAGAAAAATAGAAACACTTGTACCTAATTGTCCTTGGTTTTGAACCGAGCAATTATCAAGGTTGACTTTTATGATGTTTATCAGACATGAACGCATTCTAAGACTTATGAGATTATGATGCATGGGACTATAAGTGCCTAGGGGTTCTTTTTGAAGTCTTCATTACCTTTTTGATAGATGCCAGCCCTGAGCTAAAGCTTATGCTCATTTGCTATTAGTTGTTTCTTTTCTTTGTTATTTTTGTTTCATTATATTTTTGTTGAAGGGCGGAATGGAAACATAGGATTCATGACAACATGTAGCCGACCCCAAGTAGTTGGAAAAGGGCTTGTTGTTGTTGTATATTTTTGTTGAAAATAGACCTGTAGCAGCAATCACATCAACCTTCTATAATCAAGTGCTTGCAGTTCTTCCAAAACCACGGAATTGTGAACCCTAGGAGGTGGGTATAAGTATACGTTCTCGGAAAACAAGTTTAAATCTGAGATACAAACTTGTACTAAAGGAACCGATAAGACCTTATGTTTGAACTTTTGTACCTGCCAATTGTATTAGTGTAGAATATTCATTGCATCTAACATGTTTTAGCTATGTTCTTGACAAACTTGCCTTATGAGTTGAGTCTTATGACTAATTTAGAATGTAACGATTCAAACTTTAGAGCAATAAACTGTCTTATTTCTTTTCTTACATGCATGTGCGTGTTCATGTATACTGTAGATATTGTCTTATTTTCTCTCCTCATTCAGATTTTTAATTTCCATAATTAGTTCACATATTCATTCCTACGTGTAAAATTCAAACTGATACACATAATTCATAATATTAACTGCATCTCTTTCCTGCAGGGGCCGTCCTGGAGATCTCTATGTCTACCTTGACATTGAAGAGATACCGGAGATCCAAAGAGATGGCATAAATCTCTGTTCAACAGTTTCAGTTAGCTATCTAGATGCCATATTGGGGGCTGTTGTTGAGGTAAAATTTACTTTTTGATTATAGTTTGTATTTTTAAAATGATAATATGCATGCTTCTGAATGGGCTCTTTGGTTTTTGTTCTGAGCCATAATTATCAAAATCTATAATACAAAGTTTAATTAGATTTAACACTAATATAGCAACTTCGATCGATTGCGGGATCAATTGAAGGCCACTAGGGTACTTTTGATTGGTCGGAAATGGTTTTGATCTAGAGAAATTTGCAGGATAACAATTTCCAAATCTGATTCAAACTCTATTAACTCCAATTTTTTTTTTGCTTCTATATATAAAGATCCCAATTCTTCAGAAAACCTATGCTAAGAGAACACGAGTATATACAAGCATATAGAGAAAATATTGAGCACCATATAGCATATAGAAGATATATTGAGCATCATATAGCAATCCAATTGCTTCACTTCAATTTTTTTTTTTTTTAACAATCAATTGGAGAGGTCAAAACACGGGTTGAAGAGTAGACCGTGTGGGGAGCAAGTTCGTTGGCTGTCTGTCAGCAACAGAGCTTGGGTGGGGCGTTTGATGTGTGTCTGTGATGGTTGAGATTTAAAAATTGGTTGAAGTTTGTTATTTAGTTTTCAAGATGTATACAACCCCTTTATCTGGCCTTGTGTAATTTCTGAGGGATGCATTCCCCTTTTGAATGCCTTTGTTAATACAATCTTACTTGTCGAAAAAAAAAAATGTATTCACTCCCTCTCTAGATCTAGCTTAGGGCACAGCGCACTCTGATTGGCTTACTCTTAGTTTTCAAAAGTTCGTTATTTAGTTTCCAATACTCTTTTTCCAACTTTGTGCCTTTCCTATATATGTAATAAGTTGAAACCTAACTCATACAGTAGGCTTTCTCCAATTTCCATCTCAACTCCCCTTTTCCCTTCTCAAGCCTCTGGCACGACGTACACAGATGAACCCAGGAAATCCTCCACCGGGGAGACAACTGAAAACAGGATTACTGCTGGGTTCCTTCACTTGCAGAGACTAGAGAGCTACTGAAATAAGCATTTTTTTTCCCTTTTAGTCCCTAACTTCTTTAAACTCAATATTTTTGTGCAAACTACGTTTACCGACATTCAAAGCTCGAAAAACAGACCATTGAGTGCAGATCTCTTGCAATTTTCTCTGGCTATTCTGGTTACTAACTATCTGTTTTATTTATTTAATTAATTAAATTTTGGCATTTAAACAGGTTAAGACTGTTGAAGGGATTAATGATCTACAGATCCCTCCGGGTACTCAACCTGGCGATGTGCTTGTCTTGGGGAAGAAAGGTGCACCAAAACTGAACAGACCATCAATACGTGGTGACCACTTATTCACAATTCAAGTTACCATACCAAAACGCATCAGGTATGCTATTGTTCTAGTTATTTTATCTAATTATTCTTATGAATGCATTGCTTTATTATTTCTTTAACTAATCTAATGCAATTAATGGCTCTTAGCTACCATTTCTGTAGTTTTTGCATTTTATCTATATACTTTTGATCTTTATATTTCCTACTTGTTTATTATATAATGCAATAAAACATGTCTCAAATATCATAGATCTTAAGAATGTGCTTCAGAAATAATTGTGTGGGTTGTGGTAAAGGTGATTCACATTTCAATTATGGTTTACATTGTATTTGATTGTGTCCATTGTGTGTTTGATGGCCCTTACAACACTTGCTTCTATATGGGTGCTTCAGGTTTCAAGTTTGCAACAGTACATAGTATATGATTGAATATTATGAGATTTAATTATTAATTTGTAATACTTGTGCTTTTACATTTTGTGTGTAACAGAATGGATTGATCCATCAGATGTTTGGAACTCCCCGAGGATGGTAATTTTTAAAAAATAATAAGCTGCAAAACTCGAAGAAATCAAGAAAGTTATACGTGTGTTATCCTTTCTTAGTGGATAAGTTGACCTATGATTTGTAAGCTGCAGTGCTTTGGAGGAACGTACTTGGACTATTGAAAGTCCTGTATGTTTTTTTAACTTCATTGAAATTTCGGCAGTCTACTCACAAGCAAACGCTACTAATTGCTGATTCTACAGAATCCTTTCAGACTGAAGAATATATATATATATATATATATATATATTCCCTGAATGTGATTATTTTATTGAAACAAGATATACATAAAATACAAGAAAAGAAGTGTGAATCCCTCACAATAATAAAGCAAACCAGCAAGGACAACAGGCTGGAAAACCCAGCCTAGGACAAGCCAAAATAAAACACTGAGCTAGACCAGAAGAGAGCGACTCTCTAGATCAGTCAAATTGAGCCCCAATAACTGTAGGCATTCCAAGCACGAGGCATGGACAAATACCCCCCGCAGTTCTCTTAATGTCTTCATACAGCCTCTTATTTCTTTCACACCATTATACTCAAATGACATGGACAAATAAAGCTCTAGCCACCTTCTTACCAATAACCAAGGGCCTTATGGTCGAGTGGTATCTCCTCTACCTCCCAAAGTGGATGGTGAGGGTTTGAGTCTCCAAAGGAGAAAATTGGGTGTGCACGCGTTTCTTGCCAATGAAAAAAGAAAAGAAAAAAAGAAACCTTCTTACCCATAGATGGGAGGATGGGTAATTCAAGAACCAGTGAACAGCCTGCTGAAGACAGGATAACTGCAGCAACCCCTGCCAATGGTAAACTGAAACAAACCAAGCCCAATTTGATTTAGCCAGAGGGCATCTCCAAAAAAGATGATCCACACTGTCAATATCCATACAACAATTATGACATATACTTGTTAGATCAAAACCATATTAATGGGTTCAACATCGCCTGATATGAGCTGCACCTGGGCACAAAAACTGAGCTATGATCAAATGGTTCCATCTTTATATTTCTTTTCTGGGTATTTTAGAATAAGAAGCTTCTGAAATAAATAAAACCTCGCATTGAAAATCAACTAGGGTCTTTTTTTATAAGTAAATTGTCTTGAGAATTGTGATATTATACAATCCTGGATTGTGGTTTAATTAGCAAATGCTTTCATTCAGGGAGGAAGGCACTGTAATGATGTGAAGTAATGATTGTAGTCTCAACATAGTTTTTTAAATATATTCTGGTCCTAAAAATTTAGCGAGTAACCGATACCATTGTTTGCTTCATACCTGAATTCTGTTCATCATTTCATATGCATCTTTAGATTGTTAGTTCTAAGATCATGGCTTACCCACCCAATAAATTGTTTAAGTCAGCCCCTCTCATGATCACCTCTATGTCAGTTTGGGTCATTTTTCTTTCCCCTCGCGCATGCGCGTACTTTTCATCTTAAACACTGGACTTGTATTGAATGAATATGGGGATGTTGATATGATCTCCCCACCCCTTCCTTCTCAATTTTTGGAGCATTGGTCTCTATTTTTTTTTGGTTTTAATCTAAAACTTAGATAACAGAACTGTTTTGTCATGCTTGAGATCGAATTATCTGCTTTATCCAAAATTATTTGTTCTCTCTATTATAACATGAAGCTACTCTGTCCATTTTGAATTTCTGCTGTGTTCATGTGGTAAAAATCTAGAGAAAATAAATTTTTTCCCTTAGATTTGATATTATTGTACCTGTTTATATTTGCAGTGCCAAAGAGCGGGAACTGCTTGAAGAACTTGCTTTTCTAAATGACACTCCTGGAAGCCGTTCACAAACTCGCCCTAAGGTTAAGCAAACTAGTAAGTAGTTGCTTTTATATTCTTGAATAATTTCATTGAACTGAGTTACAGAAGCATTTATTTCTTTTCCACATGCCAAGAGTTCATTTCTTGGAGCAACCTCAAAGGCTCTGACTGACAAGTGAGGTCATGGGTTTAAGTCTTGGAACACAAACTTATACAAAATAATGCAAAGTTAGGTTTATCTCTACTCTTTCCCTCTCATCATCCTACTTTGGCTGGAATACATGGATATTCTTGCACAAGTGGTGCCATCCCTTTGTTTCTGTACAAGCACTGGAGAACTTCAGTTTAATTTGCCTTCGCATTAAGTTTATAGGTTGATGTAAAAATGAGAAATGTCATCACTCATCTTGCTTGCAGGGTGTTTCTCTTGAAAAATCTAATTTATCTACTCACCGGATTTTGCAACTTGAACAGTGAACATGATGTTTTGATTATTTCAGCTAGTACAGAAAATCAAACGGGTTCTGTTACCGAGAGAGAGAGAAATGAATCAGGAGAAGATGATGTATGGAAGAAGTTAAAAGATTTTGCTGGGTAATTGTCCTCCTCCATTCTTTTACCCATAAATCTTTGCTATTTAGTTTTGATTCCGAAAATGCAGTTAGGTTTGAACCTCCATTGTAGCTATTAACTATTGTGTCTCTATCATAACTAGGGATTGCTTAAATGAATTAAATGTTAATTTGCAATATGGATGTCTAGGCATTTAATGATGCATCTTTTGTATTATCATCTCTTTATCGATGTTTTCATTTTTCTCTCGTACGTTGTATTTACCCTCTCTCGTAAATTTATCCTGCATTGACCTTAAACCTCTTAATATTACAGGTCTGTTGGAAAAGGAGCTCTAAATTGGTTGAAAGGCAACTCCTAGTCTTTCAAACTCATGTCTGCACTTGTGTATTATACAGGCAATAGAGTTTTTGCCCCTCAATATATGGCTGCAAAAGGATGATGCAGTTACCATTCTTAATTCAACCTTCTTGGCTTTTGCTGAAGAAATCGAATGGTAACAACAGTGGATATTCATTAATTCTTTTTTCATCATTGTAAATTATACCACTCGGCTTATGGCAATAGATTCACCTCTTCCAAGTGTATCAACGTGTATGCCTTGAGCATATTAGGAAGGCAACTGCTCGTTAGGCTAGAAGAAATTTTATTTTTTTACATTTACGAATTTTGCAGAAGTCCAACTTGCCCCAATCATTTCAATAGAAATTTCTTGTTTAGCTTTATTTTGATAGCTATGGACCACAGAATTTTGGAGGATTAAAATATGTGGAAGTTATAGAACTAGAATGAGGGCAACCCCAAGGGGATAACCGAATGGCAAAGGCTCTCATCTCACATCCTCCTGAATATCCGGAATTCGAATCCCTTTGAGGTCACACCAGCGAACCTTCCCGATAATTGTCCGATGCTTGTGGGTTGGAGAATTGCATGTTCTCAAATGATAAATGATTATTAAAAGAGGAGGTTTGGTCAAAAGTTCTGATGTTCCTGGCAGGGAAAAGAGGCAGGAAAGACCACCATACCAGTAATTTCAGACTCACACGGCACAGTTTGCTACCATATATGTTACAATTTGCTACCATATATGATATTAAGAATCCAGAGAAGTGTTCATAGAAAGAAATTGCTGGACATTATCATCATAATGGTCACATATCCTCAGTGACCATGCCAAATTCCTAGTCTTTCACTGGTCGCGACTGTGCTTGATCAGAAGCAAAACAGCTACAATAACCGGAGCAGAAATCATGATCAAGGCCAGTAAGATGTTGGGTCTTGTTATCTCTGGGAAGAGGATGCTTCCGTATTTTATTGCAGCTGCACCCGCAACAGAACCAACTCCTAGTTTCCACAGGTAGTTCAACTCCTGCTTAGACAGCGAGAATGCCAAGTATAGTCGTGACTGAAAGAATCTCATAAAACTCCGAATTAATTCAATTAAATCATAAAACCTCGGATTTGATAATGGCTAGACTGGAAAAGAAATATTATCACACGGCAATACGCACACATATTTCTTTTCCCTCAAGCTCCTGTGAAAATGGGATTCACGTTGTCCATTCATTTCCCAGAAGCAAGATTCAATCATTTATAGTTCAAAAGCAACTTAATAGCAATTGTAATTGTAGCTACTAGCTAGTCATTAAATTGGCTCATATATATATATATTTATAATATCTGAATTTTAAATATGAAGATGAATCAGAACAACATTTCTGCAATATTCTTAAAGTAAGAATTGGGCTATTAATAATTAAATAAAGTTCCTAAGATGAATCACCACAATATATATATATATATATATATATATATATATATATAGAAAGAGAGAGAAAGGGAGAGAGAGAAGAGTAGCTGACCGGAGATGTGAAGGTAGCAGGGTCGGAATCATTTACTTGTTGTTCCCTTTGGGGTTCCGAAGCTCGAACGACATGAGTTAGGGTTGGAGTTGTTGCTGGAAAGAGATTTGGGACGCCAAAGGCAATTCTAGTCGCCGTCCGTGAGGCTTTTGGTCGCCGGAGAGCGAAGAACAAGGAAGAGCAAATCGTCGGAAGTCCAGTCACTGCCATATCCGGTAGTAAATGGAATGGACAACAAATCAAAGGGACCTACACCTACCTAAATAACTAAAAAAAAAAAAAAACTTACTTTACATTTATGGTTATTATTAAAATGACCAATTTAGCCCTCTCTATATAACCCCATTTTTTTTTTTTTTTCCCTTAGTTACCCCAATGATTTTCAGTGTGAATTCACTTATCGAAACAAAATCATTTTAAATTTTAAATTTTAAATTTCATCACTTTTACTGAAATTCATCTGTAATGGATATTCAGCACCATAATGGTAACAAATTAAGTATGTAAAAGAGTGTAATAGTGTATTAGTTGGTGTTCTAATTCAATAAAAATTTATGTTTACATTTTTTAATAATATATTTTTAATTCTTTTATATTCAATTTTATTAGTTAAGAATTTTAATTAAAATAGATAACATAGTCCACCACTATTTAATAATTTCTCAGGATTTAAGTGGAGTAGGGACAATAATGCGTGTGTGCCTGGTAGAATTATCTCATTTGTCCATTATCATCCTGCACCATGAGGCACTATCTTACTAAAACAGATTCCTCAAGATGACACCCTTGGATCATCACAAATCATAATCATAACAAAATCGAAGGCTACAATTGCAGGTGTACAATAACAACCTGGAAAACAACCACATAATAACACTCCAAGTTATCCAATGAGATTATATTTCCCAATCTCCACTTATATAATCAATCCCCAGTCTCCCCATAACACTCATACACCATCCCGAGCATGCAGAGCTGTTTGTTTTTCTGTTACTCTCTCTCTCTACATATATACAGAGAGAGAATTTACTTGTCTCTCTTCTCTCTAGAGCTCGGAGTGGTACATAACGTACGCAAAACATGGGACAACGTTATTGTCAGATATGGCGACGGAGATAGTGATTCCGGTGTGTGCCGTGGTCGGAATCGTGTTCTCGTTGGCGGTTGGCCCAGTGGTTGTTGGTCTCTCGCATTAAAGTCTCTCCTGAAACAAACTTCTCCTCGTCGACCAACAACTGTAACAACAATGGGTACGAGGATTCTCTGATTGAAGAAGAGGACGGTATCAATGACCACAACGTTGTCCTTAAATGCGCCGACATACAAACTGCTATCTCCGAAGGTCACTCTCACTCCCTCTGTTTCTGTTTGTTTCCTCAGAAAACGGAGGAAACAAATTGGAAAATTTTGGTTTCTTAAAATTCAAAAATAAAAAAACTTGAATTTTCTGTACTCCACCATCTATTTACTTTGCGGTTGATATCTACTTTATCTCTGGTTTCAATTATAAGAATCCAAAATTCAAATTTTGATATATACACTTTTTTTCTTTCTTACCTTTCTTGATTGGTTGTACTGTATTTTTATTTTTATTTTTTTTCTCTGTGTTCACATTTTTACTTTTTTAAATTTTAAATTTATTTATTTAATTTTATTGCTGTCTGGGTATTGGGGAGATTATATTATTAGATAATGCCATTATTGCCATATGCACCTCCCTCAAATAGGTTTAACTGGGGAAAGTTAATTATTTGCAGTGGTATCTAAATAAAGTTGTTTGGCTTTTATGATATAAATCAATGATTAATATTACTACGTACTAATGTGGAAGAACACGTGTTTAGCCTGAAGACTAATTAGGTTGTCATTACCTGCAGTAAAAAAAAAAAAAAAAAAATTCCCATCCTTTTTATTTAATTAAAAAATTAAAATTTGTCAAATGTCAAAAAATGTACTTGTTAAATAAACATTTAAGGGTAAAATAGATGTAGAGTAAATCTTATGCTAAGTGGAAAGAAACAAAGCTCTTATGACCTTAATTCTAGATTTTTCAGTGATGCCATTTAATTCTAAATTTAGAAGTAATACTACTTATAATTTGTTTGGGACTGCCCATTTGATTTGTTTCTCATTGTACAATTGCATTACTTTGTTTTTCTTCAAGCTCTAGTTCAAAATATGTGGTTATAATACACCATAGGCTTCTTGACTGGTAAGTGCTATCTCTTTTCATGTACCATTGTTGTGTCTGTCATTGTAAGCTTTATATATATATATATATATATATAAATCATTAACTCACTTTTTGAACCTATGGTATTTGTGTATGCGACAGGTGCAACATCCTTTCTATTTACTGAATATCAGTATGTTGGGGTATTCATGGTTGCTTTTGCAATATTGATCTTCGTTTTGCTGGGCTCAGTCGAGAGCTTCAGCACAAAGAGCCAGCCTTGCACTTATAACCCGCAGAAGATGTGCAAGCCGGCACTTGCTACTGCTCTCTTCAGCACCATATCCTTCTTGCTTGGTGCTCTCACCTCAGTCCTGTCTGGTTTTCTTGGGATGAAAATTGCTACCTATGCAAATGCAAGGACAACTTTGGAAGCCAGAGGTGTTGGAAAGGCTTTTCTAGCCGCATTTAGGTCTGGTGCAGTAATGGGTTTTCTCCTAGCTGCAAATGGTCTCCTGGTCCTCTATATTGCCATCAATCTCTTCAAATTGTGCTACGGTGATGATTGGGAAGGCCTTTTTGAGGCCATTACCGGTTATGGCCTTGGTGGATCTTCTATGGCCCTATTTGGAAGAGTTGGTGGAGGTATCTACACTAGGGCTGCCGATGTTGGTGCTGATCTTGTGGGGAAGGTCGACAGGAACATTCCCGAAGATGACCCAAGGAACCCAGCTGTAAACCACATTACTCTCTTGAATTGAAGAAAAAATATATATCATGCTCTTTTTAGGGTTTTGTTAAAGCTATATGTTTGTTCTTGCAGGTGATCGCGGACAACGTTGGTGATAATGTTGGTGATATTGCTGGGATGGGATCTGATCTTTTTGGCTCGTATGCTGAATCATCTTGTGCTGCCCTTGTTGTTGCCTCCATCTCCTCATTTGGGATCAATCATGAATTCACAGCAATGTGTTATACCCTGCTCATTAGTTCCGTAGGCATCCTTGTTTGTTTGATCACCACCCTTTTTGCAACTGATTTCTTTGAAATCAAGGCTGTCAAGGAAATTGAGCCGGCTTTGAAGCAACAGCTTTTTATCTCGACTGTTCTCATGACTATTGGAATTGCAATTGTTAGCTGGATAAAAAATAATATTGATTTGCAGGCAGCTGTTCTTTTGTGTGGCTGTTGGGCTTTGGGCTGGGCTTATTATTGGGTTTGTCACAGAATATTACACCAGCAATGCATACATTCAGAAGAAACTTTACTGACTTCCTCCGACCTTTTTATTTATTGAGAGAAAGAAACTTGGATTGCATGATAAAATATTTATTAATTAAACAAAATCTGTGCAAGAGAAATGCCAATCTCTAAGCATTTTATTATAACATCCCACGCGGGATTATCGATGAATAAAATTAGAACTGAGCGAGCGAAAACCTCCTACATTGTTTCTCAAACATTTCAATTTCTAAATTCTGATGAACTGAGTAATTGATCTATTCCGGATTTGAACTGAGATATGAACACCTTCATGCGAGTCTGTGACTTGTTTTCCGGTCTCACTCTCGCTCTTCAACGGACTGAAGCACAAATAGATTGCTGATTGTACAACCCATTTACCCCATTTGTAAACTGCTGCCTGTTTCTCCTCCGCTTTGTAACAACTACAAATCCTTCAGTGTCGTCGTTCTTATTCTTATTTACATCTACTGTTTTCGGCTGTTCACTTTTACCATTTTGAGAAACCAATTCCGTCTTTCCTTCATTTCCATAAAGAATTTTGATGATTGCACTGTCATTCGCAATTGCTTCCGAAGAATTCTCTGAGTACTCCGGCTTTTTCACACCAGCCGTAGACTTGCTTGCAGGATCCAAGTCATCTTTAACTGACTTTACAATGAAGCTGAGCAGTATCTGCCTTGCTAGCTCTGACTTCTCTGCATCTGTACTGCCTTTTCTCAATCTGTCATTTTCAAAGCCACCAGTAACCTTTTCATCTTGTTTCTCTTCTTCAGAAAACTCCTTATTTGAATTAACCACAGACTCGGGGTCCTTTTCAACTTCTGAATCTTCACTTCCTGCATTTGTTTGCCAAGCTCTTCTCGGCACAAATTCTGGTGCATTGGGATTCATGATTCTTGGAGAACTGAATCCACTTCTTTCCTTGGTGGTACTTTGGGATTTCAAACACCCATGTGTCATGCGGAAAGAATGGCTCGCTCTATAATATAAAGCTGATCTAGGCCCACAAGGAACTCTAGCAGCAACTGGAGGGAATCCCACCGGGTCTGCAAGCATGCCTTGGGTGGCTATTACATCATAAACACTTGTCATCGCAACTGAGTTTAACGGTTGAGTCAAAGGAAGGGCACCTGGATTAAATGGCGGAGCTGCAGCAGAAAGCTTGCTCCCATTTGTTTCTACAGTTTTTTCTTCGTTACTTGAACACGGAGTCTGTTCAAGTTCTGGGGCAGATATTTCCAACTCAGTTCCACTCTCATGAGCATCTTTTGTGTTTTCATTATCTGGTACAGCTTCTTCTAGAGCAACTGCATTGTTTTCATCCTCCTTTGATGTCTCAGTTGGATTATTGCAGACCTGTGTATCAGTTTTTTCCTCTCTCAATTCTTCAAATTTCTCCAAAGGCTTCAAAACTGTACCTGGTGGTGCCACCGCTACCTCCTTATATGACAAAGATTTTGAAGCCATAGCAGTGAGAGTGGCAGGAGTGGGGGAAATTTTGGACTCTGAGATGGGGGAAACTAGGGAACTTGAAGTTTTCACCTGCAGTTTAGTCCAATCCTCTCCAGCACTGAAGCTATGAGCCTTTGGTTGCTTCAGCGAAAACCATTCTGTTGACAAGGTCTTTGGCATTGCCTTTTGTGCCAGTGGAACCGCTTCCTTCCTGTAATTGCTGTCTCTATAATTAGCATGTTCAGAACTGTTTATGTTTAGCTTAGCAAGAACTGGCCGCCTTTGGCCAAACTTTCTGCCAGCATTATTTGTGGACCGCACTTTTGAGTTAGCTTCTTGCCATCCTTCATCAGAGCTTGTTCCTTGGGAAACTTCATTAGTAACGGTAAGATCATATCTAGAGACATCACTGTCCTTGGGTTCTTCAGGAAGAAGTGTGCCCAGCTTATCCTCCTCTGTATTGGTCTTTGCTATTGCCACAGTATCTTCTGTGTCATCACGAGTCACAGTGTCATTGCTTATTGCATCATGCTGCACTTGATGGGATTTATCACTAATCTGCAACACCTAAGAGATAATGAATAAAAGAGAGAGGAGCGTGTCATGTCTTCAGCTTGAGAAACTGGAGCTAATTTGCTTCCTTCCAATAAAAACATATTCGTAATAGCAGCAACTTAAAAATTTTAAAAAAGAAAAAGAAGAATAGAGTGAAATAAGAAAGAGGACAACTTGTTAAGAAGTTTTCATGTTCAAATGAAAAATAGTGGTTAGAATATCAGCAGCTACCACAAAACTCAATTGAATAAATGGGATCCATGAGTTTAGTCTAATAGAGTCACTTAGTAAGGATTATGCACTCTAATTTCCTTTCATCATGGTTCTCCAAAACAATTATCAAATAGGCTTCAACATTAGGATATACAACAGCAACAGGTGATATATTTTTTTTATAAGAACATTCCTATAAAATGCCAAAACTAGAACATTGTCTTTCAAATAGTTAAAATATAGCTATACAAACTGTCCTTTGATTAGTTAAAATATAGCTATGTTGTTCTTTCTATGGGTTATATTTAGTTTTAGTTGAGTTATTCACACGACTCAAGTTAATTTATCTCCACTAATACTCAGTCATAGTCTAAAAGAAAACCATTGAGCTTATAAGTTGATTAGAGCACATACATTTAGTTCACAAGTTCCTGCTGAAATATGAACCAACCGATTGACAAACAGTGATCGTTTGCCTGAATCTAGCCTAAATTTTGTAGTATCTCAAATATCGGAAAAAAACCAAAAATAGTAAGATATGGGAAAGGACATCGGCACTCCAAAAAGATCCCAAGGCAATCCAAATAAAAAGTAGTCGTACTTAACAAAAAGGGAAAATAAGAACAAAAAATAATAATAATAACTAAAAGAAAATTTTGGATCACATGCTGCAGAATTTGACATGGAGATGAAGGATCAGATTTTTGACTGTAAGCAATATGCAACTACCTTCGCTCGTCTTTTCCTTTGTGAGTCTCCTTCCTTCGAATCCTGATCAGGACTTATGTAATCAAGGAGATCTGATACGCTGCAAGAAAGGGATCAAAGGTTTTGGTGTGCAAAGACATAACTCCATGTTTAATAACCAAGTAATTTGGGAATACCATATCAATACCTAAGGTGGCCTTTGCTAGCAATGGATGCATCTGGCTTTGGAGTTCCGTTTCGTGCCACTTCTTGCTGCTCCAGGGCTTTTGATTCAAAATATTCAAGCCATGCAGCAGCGTCCTGCATAAGAACAAACAGCACATTAATATAATAAATCGCTGCTGCAACTTTTTACGATTTTCTTGTGAAAGTTGATTACTTGTTACAAGGCTTATAGTTCAATCAGTTGCAAATTTTTAAAGGAAAATTACTAGGAGCAACCACAATTGGGTATTTGTAAGTGCTTTTAAAATGTAAAAGAGTCCATATTAAGTTGGAACTGTAGCATTTTTGCGACTGACCAAAAATGACATAATTGACAGTAGGGAAATTTATCGGGGTAGTTACTATCTTCAACACTGCTTATAGTTTAAAGGTAGTGATATCATTTTTTAAGGTTGAGAGATTTTAATGTTTTTTATTTTCAAAAAATTGCAATTGTTCAAATGAAGCCATAGGGGCAAAGTTGGGTGTGAGTTTCTTGCCAAGGGAAAAAAATAAAAATAAATAAATGAAGCCCTCTGTGTCAAAACTTTAAGGAATATGGCTTCAGTATGCTAAAACAAAGCAGGAAATTGTACTCTTCCCTTTTACGAATGTTGAAGAAACAGGGAAGCCAAAAAGGCCAGTATCAACTGAATATATAAAACAATAACTAGCTGTTGCAAAATTCGGATTATTAGGGCATAATTAGCACTTATGGTATTTTTGTAAGATATCAAAACAGTGTGGTAACCTGAGTACGAAGATCTTCTTGTCCCAGTTTGGCTTGAAGGATCTGTAGTGTGGTTTGTTCATGCTGCACACTGAGGGAATACGCTTCCATCAATGAAAGAGCTATGGCTATTGCATGATAGCTGGCTGCAGTCTGCCATATGAAAGGATGAGATAGTTTTGTTAGCTCATATAAGAGGCTAAAATATTCTACGTAAATATCATGTGTGTGTGTGAGAGAGAGAGAGAGAGACCTGTATATGATCGGCTCCTAATAATCTTTGATTACATTTAAGAGCTTCATGCAAGTATCTGAGAGCGACATGAACATTTCCCATACCCTCTTCCATCATAGCCACATTTATATAAGTTGCAGCAGTATTTGGATGAGACAATCCACATGTAAAATGGAGAAGGAACAAAGCACGGTTGACATATCTGCCAAAAGTAATGTGATTAATAAAAAGCCGGAAAACAGAAAGAGAATAAACAACAATATGCAGTTCTCTTAATTATGCCAAGAGATCGATAAACTCAAACCTGATTCCAAGAAGAATTATTTATGTAGAATGATAATTACTTCTATGGTTTGGAATATCTGGAGGGCTAGAAATCAAGCTTCATCAAGGTTGTTCTTCAAAGGCCCATCAACTTGCAAGGTTTATTACTTGGAAGTGCAGGATATTATGGGATTAAAGTTATATGATTTTGTCAATGGTATTGGGATTGAGTGATTTGATGTTTTTAATTTTACTTCTGTTATTATCTTCTTATTGGAATAGGAGTTATTCCAATTTTTCACTGTTCAGCAAGGGTATGCCCTCACTTTAATCTTGCCATTCTCTACAACTTTTTATAATGCATGCAAGTCTTCCCATTTAGGGAAAGAAAATTATGTTTAAAGAACGAACACAAATAACACAAGATGGATAAGATTCAATAGGAAGGTTGATGCAGGAAGAGAAGACATTATGGTGTACAATTTCATAGAAACTATTATTCTAAATATATGAAATGTACACTGATTGGAGATAAAATGTAAAAGAAAAAAGGTGGAACAGAATAAATTGGAGTTGTGTAGCTGACTCCAACAGTCGCGACAATGGTTGTTCAGTAAAATGACCTAAATTCAATCTTCTGATGATATTCGTAGTAACAGCAAATTAATTATTAAAATCAAAATGCATAGACATAGTTTTGGCACATCAAGAACACAAATAGAAACATCTTACTTCAAAGCCAATTCGATGTGCTGTAGACGATAGTAAAAAACTGAAAGATCCCCGTAGCTTTTCATTGTATCTGGATGGTCAAGCCCAAGTTCCCTCTCATTGATATCCAAAGCCTTTTGCTGATATATTGTTGCCTAAACAAGGGATAAAAAAAATAAAAATAAAAATAAAAAAACAGAAAATTGATGGTTAAGCAACCTGGCTATTTTCAAACAAGATACGAAGTTCCTAATACTATTTAGTGTTCATAGAAGCCTAAAATGCAGGTGAAAATTCACAAATTGAATTGCCAATATTTGATTGTCATTTGTTCAGCTGAGTTGAGTTCAAAGGTAATTACCCAGAATCTAAGTTACATTGGTGCTTGGAAGTATATACTCTGCAGTTGCACAAATAATATTTGTCTATGGATTTCACATTTCTATAGTGGAATCGGTAATTAATTGAGGATTTTCAAGCTTAAATTTCTACTTAATATCTCCCCACTTTTACAATATATATGAACTCGAATTTTACATAATCATGTACTTTTTCTTCACTTCAAGGATTAGTTCAAATATTAGATTGGTTATCACTGATTCAAGGTATGTATAATTCACACTAAAAAGTAACAAAACAAGTAAATGAATAAAGATTCATAAAAGTGACAATCAGCAAAATTCATCAGTAAAGTTGAAATATTATTCAAAAAGATTGTTGTACCTGATTAAAATCTCCAGTGTGGTAAAGCACTACTGCTAAGAGACTATATGCACTTGCAGTTGCCCGATGATAGGGACCACACACAGCAATCATTTTGGCTAGTGCCTTCAAAATTAAGATGTAAATAAATTAAGATCACCTCATTTTCCCAATTAGAAATAAAATCAAATAAGTTAACTGCGTGGATGATTTTGGTACCTTTGTTCCATAATTAACAGCATCTTCTAACTTTCCTTTATCCAGTGCAATCTTGGATGACTCCAATAAAGTCCGCCCATCAGCAGATGAGCATCCTACATGCTGTAGAGAATGATTGAAACATCTCAGTCATTGCAATTTCATTAATTACTGGACTGTTCAGATGGTAAATATCATGTCAAATGAATTTATTATACACACGCACACACATATATATATAGAGAAAGAGAATCCTACTTTGCAGACAGGAACCATGCTGATAACATCAGATTTCTTGAAAGGGTTAGGGCTTTCCATATCATAGTCTCTTGTAACCAGCTCCAAGCCAACCTGGACAAATCATACATACATAAGAATGTTGTATTCACTAATATGGGTATTGAAAGCAGTAACTGGGATGGTACCTTATGGCAAAGTCCTCGAAGAATTGATAATTTTCTCAACTGTTCAAATTCATCTTTCAGACTATAACCAAATCTTTTGTCCAGAAATGTTCTTAACCATTTCAATTTGAGAACATGATCATCAGTCATGTTCTGTTCGTTATGTTCCCCAAACAAGAAATTCAAGGATGAAGCTACCGCTGCAGATAAGTCCGCCATATTGTCAATGGAAGCAATAACAGCTCTAAGTACATGCTTGAACGCTCGAGTGACCATCTCATGAACACAAAGTGACTGTATATGAGGAAGTTTCTCTGCAAGTTCAACCTAGTTCACATAATGACATCAGAAAAAAAAAAAATAATAAGACATCAGAACAAACAATGGTTACATTGTATCTATAGGCTCTGCTTAATTTTTCTTAATTTCTATAAATAATTTAACTATTAGTCAATTTAGGCAGTAAAATAATTTCCTCGAGAAGCAATATTTTAGAAATAAGAGACTCTTCTCTCACCACACGGCCCAAAGAACACATTTGCAATCCCCTTAGATGCATGAAGTCAGTTAGGGAACGTCCATCAACTGGAGAAAGTTCAAGTGACCCAAAATCTGTTACCTAAACAAAATGAGAGAGTTAGTTTGTACATGATATATAATGGTATGTTTCAATTAAAACAAATTCAATTATGCACTAAATATTACCAGCTTAGGCAAAGCAACTTCATCATAATAACTGTGTGCCATCTTGATGAGCTCATCCACAGACTGTTACAAGAGGCGAATTTAAACACTTATTGCCTTGAAAATCAATTAATAAAGTGTAATTGAAAATAATAACAAGTACAATAACAATAGTAATGAAGCACACTGCTGTGCTGCTAACTTCATCAAACATTAGCAATATATCAATGACAAACTAATTGCTTTTTCACTATTTCCTGACGCTAAAATAAAAGGCAATAATAGCTCATGGCTTTAAGTTACATTACAAAGTGGAAAATGCCAGATACTTGAAAAGTGTGTGTTACAGACCTTTAGATGAAGGCCTGTCCTAGTTTCTTTCAGTCGCAAGAAGGCTTCTTCAGGAATTAACTTCTTCAACTCAGCCTCACTGTTAGACTCGCAATTATTTAGCTCTCCCATGCTGCTTTCCACATTCAGTCTGCTGGCTCTGAAATCATTTTCGACATTATCATCTGTGCTACTCACACTACTTGGCTTCTTTTCCCTCTTATTCAGCATTTTAAATTGCTTCCCAAGTCCTTTAACAACAGGTACAGCCTCATTATCATCCTTGGGGCTTTTAGAACCGTTATCTGTCGGCACTTCCTGCTTTTGTAGATGTTGCACCCAGCAAGAACCAAGTTCCCATCTGATACACCTCTCAGAAACTGCTGGCTTATCTTCCAACTCACTCAAGCTCTCTTTAATTACTTTGTGAACCAGGCATCTCAAAACTTCTAGATCACCAGAATTAGACTGAGGTGAGTGGCCTCCAGATAACTCGGCACTACATGAATCATGTAGCAAAACCCTCAAGCTGTAAAAATTTCAAACCTAATGAGTCCGTTGCATGCAACTTTATTGTGAGGCAACCACACAATTTGCATATTTTCTGAAATACTCATTCTTCAAATGATAATCTGTTTTATAAAATTATTAATCACTGCACTTGCATACTATACTTACTATTGTCTCTCAAAAACTTCGCTCTATTTGCTTTTGGTTTTGCAGTTCTAGTTTTCTTATAAGTACAAGACTAATTTTATGACTTGAAATTAAACAAGACAAAAATGGGCGATTAGCAGAGCCATTAACTAGTGTTTACCACAAGCAGTCACGAATTTAAAGGGTCTAAAGGACAACAACCAAAAGAGCAAACACAAATATATCACTGGAGAAGAACTGAGCGTGAATTTCTTTCATAACTTCCATTATACAAGCAATCCATTCCTGTTATAATGATAATCGCACCACATTTCATCATGGCGTGGAGCACTACTACTGTCTTATAGCACTAGCAGGAAGACATAAAAACACCTTTGTGTCTCACGAAGCATTCTGAAATGACTGGTAGTTAATACAGAAAACAGAGGCATGCTGGATACAAATAAAATCTCAACTTTTAACAGCTTTTTATATCCCTATGTACTGGTAGCTTAGGATCTTACTATGTGTATGTTCTATTTGCAAGCAAATGTGAATTATCCAAACCTGTTAATGTTAAGCGAATTGGCTCCTCCATCTGGTTGATCATCAATTTCAATATCTTGAGCCATGTACTTTCCTTTCTTCACATCACCTATGATCTTTACAGTTGCAGTGTATCCACAATGTCTTACAACAACAACACTCAGTGAGGAAGTATCCTGCAAAAGTCAATGATTTTGCTTCAGTTCTCCTGATGAGAGAAATAATAAACCTAATTACAACAACAACAACAATGACAATAATAGTAGTAATTTTCACTAATTACAACAACAACAATGACAATAATAGTAGTAAGTTTCACTTGAAAATGAGTTTAAGAGTTAAAGAGAATTTCATAATTATATTTTTTCATTTAGATTCTTTAATTCTAAATTTTCCAATTCAATAATTCAATCCAAATTACGAACAATACTTGCATAAAAGATGATATACAACCAACAGGCCAATGGCCTAGCAGTACCGGACCCCTACTTCCCAAAGGGAGGTCAGGGCTTCTAGCCTCAGTGGAGACATGTGTGTATGAGTACCAACTAAGAAAAAAAAAGATGATATACAAAGTTTCAAAATTTAATTTAAACAAGGTTGAAATTGACCGAAAAAAAACAAACTTTGAAGAGCAACGTCTTCCTAGTAATATTGCGAATCTTTTAGATAAAACTCATAAAGAATTAGAAGGCCTAGTATACATTATACAATACTCCAAAATAAAAGGGAGTAACATGAAGCGCAGAATTATGAATGCATTCAATACTCCAAAATAAAAGGGGAAATTGATCTGTGGTCAATCTCATAAAAAATAAATATGAATTTCTAGTAGTACCTCATAAAAAAAGACTACGACAGCATTATTAAATAATATGGCTATATATATCTGAAAAACAAAACTAGATTTGTCTAGCCAACCCCAATGGCTAGGATAAAAATTTATTGAGTTAGTTACCTATAAAAAAGAAAAGAAAGAAAGAAAGAGAGAGGCTTTATCAGGTCAAATTATTCAAGAATGCAACCTGTAACCTAAATTTTTAGTTGGAAAAGAAATTTACTTTTGTAAATAAACATACACGTGCAGAAGTAAATGAAGAACAAGACCTAAAACATCATCCAGACAGTATTCAGGTCAGGCATCCACAACTCAATTATAAAGATAATGGAGTATAGTTGAGGTGTGGCCTCCCTTCATACTAATCTGAAGTTCTAGCTTTAATGGAACTCCTTTAGTACCCAAACAACTTACAAATTAGAAACATGCAGCAAAGAGAAAGTTACTTACATGGACAACTACACTCTCATCGGCAGTCACCCCTTTAAGTAAGTTTCTCTGAGTGACTTTCTTAGAAGAGATACTGGATGATTCACTGCCAATAATCTTTTCAAACTTCAAGCTTGCATCTGCCGCATCTCGTTTTACTGTAATAGACAAGTCCCCTACACGATCCTCATGCAAAATTGAGCCTGTAGAAGAATTCAATGTATCTTTTTCCATCATAGTGGAATCTAGGACTTGGCGTATGGCAGAAACAGCTTTAAAGATTGAGACGTCGACAAATAAGCTATGAAGCAAAAAAGCCTTTCGGTCTCGGACCACCCTCTCCTCCTCAGTCTTGCAAGGAAGGCTTGCCAATATTGCAATATCAGTAGCCCACAGTCTATGATCAAATTCAGCACATCTTCCCTGGCCTCCACCGTTGCCACCCCAATTCTCATCTTCCACTGGTAAGGACATGAGGTTTGATGGAGAATCAACAACAGATGGAGGGACAAGCCATGTATTGGCACGAAAACCATATGGAAGATTACCAAACTGGAGAGAATAAAGCAAACATAAAAACGTATTAGACTGAGAGCTTATTGATCTACTTTCAGTACTAATACATTAGGAAGCTTCTTTACGTAAGTACACGTATGTCACCTTATTGTGTTCTACAAAAGCTTTCATCAAGGATTCATATGCCTGCACACCACATCAATGTATTATTACCAATGACATATTTTTAAAATAAAATTGCAACAAATTACAGCTTAAACAAAGAGCAAACAATTTTAATTGTGCATTAGCTAGTTGATATGGCTTTCAGCACGACCAAGTCAGATACGTCAGCAAATAGATTGATCACTTCACTTGGCCAAATTATTTTAGAAGTTAGCCAAGGTGGATATTCTGGATTTAATGTGATGCCTAAATCTTTTTCTTCTGCCTAAATCCTTTTCTTCTTTTATTTAATTTTTCTTGACATGGAGCCTAAATCAATAAGTAGAAAAAATTAAACAGAAATCATTTAGATTCTCTATCAAAATTTCAGCGCTCTCTTCTAACCCAAAAGGAAAAGAAATGGTGTGAAATCTATTTGGAAACTAAATTTGTCTGTGAGAGGAAAATTCAAGAAATAAGAGTACCAAAACCTTGATTTGAATGGTATGTCCTCCTCAAAGGAGAGGCGAGAGTATAAAAAATAAAAGAAGAAGAAAAGCATATCTTATGGTGTTGACAGTGACACATATGGAATGAAAACTTGGTGTCCTTACATTTGCAAAAGCTCGGCTGAGCTGTTGCAGAAGATCCACAAGGGAGTGGCTTTGTAGAAATTGCTTTCCCAAAGTGTAGAACCCTTTAACTGATGCAGCCACATGTATTAGCTTCCCATTGCATATCTTAATCTGCATAATTAACCACATTATTTAACTCAGTAAACTTAAATGCAGAAGCGAAATATACTTGAAAAAAAACTATATGCATTCTATGCATGTCTCTTTCTCTGAATTTCCAAAACCAACCATTCAAAATATTTATATTGTTTTTTGTGACTAGCATAATTATTTTGTTGATTTAGGAAATGTTTTAAAGTCTTGGGGATAATTTAGGAAAGTTAATTTTTTGTACATTTAGTTTTCAAAAGTGCACATTTATTTTGGTAAATTTTAAATAGGAAAGAGGGATTTTTATTTTAGGACAGAGGGAGTATGTGTGTAGATATGGGAATGCACATGCATAATTTGATGACCTCTCTCCAACAAAACTCTCCTTTCTTTCGTTTTTTCAATTATGATCCAACTTTATATAAATCAACCTACACTTTTGACTTTTCTTACAATTATATATATTTTTCAAGCTAAAAAGGGTTTCACATGTCTTCAGATGAAGACATTTATTCTTATATTGTAGACACAATCAAGATATACAGGAAGCATGTCCAAAAGTGTCGGAGAAGTTTAGGTGTCTGACACCAACTTGGCTCTTCTTAGAAGTGTCCATGATACACGTAAAAATCTAACAAATTTTATAACTACATTATTAAAGACCAAAACTTAGGTATTGGGGCTCCACGGCATATGGTAAAAAGATCTCATAATCACGGGATGTTGCCAAAAATAGTGTTTTTATGTCTTTTTAACTTTAACACAGCCATCAAGATTGATTTTTACTCCATTAAAATGGCATGACGGCGCTGACTCAGATAAATTTTCCAACACTTTTTTTTTTTTAAAAGAAAAAGAAAAGAAAAGGGCACGAGCAAGTATGTAATCTAAATCCTAAACTTCCCGAGAGGTGAGCTTCGAGTCCCCCTTTCCCCAATTTGCCAGGAAAGAAAAAAAAAGTAATCTAGATTCTAAACTCGAGGATCAAACTATTCCTAGATTTTACAAGTAATCACAAAAGCAAACAATTTGTTGACCCTTCTTACCCAACTTGAATTTATTTAACTATTTATTATTTTGGCGTCAAGATGAGGAACCCAACTTGAATCTGAATTCTGGAGTTGTCGGCACCCGAAATTAGGTATTTGAGGATTGAAGAATGAATGGAAATTAAAAATATAAGAAGAAAATGGCGGCTTTACAATTAACCCAATAATTAATAAGGGCCCTTCCATAAAATATCAAATTAAATACTACAGTATTACAGAATTTTGAGCAATGTGAGAGAGATCACCTGCATTTCAAAATAATCGCCGTCGCGCCTCTCTCCCTCATCCTTACGATCCACTCTTTTCAAATCTGCAAACCCACCCAGAGACACAGGGGTTTTCAATCAGATTGTTAGTAAGTTTGATTTTTCATATTAAAATTTTCGACCAAATAAATAAAATTAACCAAAGTAATAGTACTCACGTAGGATAGGAGGAGAGAGGTGAGAGAAAGAGAAGAAGTCGTAAAAATCAGAGAGCTTTGGTATGGGATGAATCGCCGCCATCTCGTAGCAACCCTCTGAAATCGGCTCTGAATTACTGGCTCGGACCACTTCTCCATTGGTCTTCTGGGTCTTCTTGGATCGACCACCCTCTGCGACGGCGGCGGCGATGGCGGGAGCGGCGGCTCTTCCTCCTTTGGGTTTGGCGAACCGAGTTGTGCACGCTACTATGTCCTGTAGCCTCCGCACGTGCGCCACCGCTTGCCCCTCCTCACTGTAGTCCTCTGCAGTATCAGTGGCATTTATGTAAATAATGGGAACTCTATTGGTTATTTTGTATTTACGAAAAGTATTTAAAAAAAAAAAAAGAAATGTGAGTCGCATTTTTGTATCAGGTTATAGTTGAAATTTCACTTAAAAAAAGAAAAAAGAAAAAAGAAATTTCATCATTGGTGAAATTTCAAAACACAAAACCAAGACTTAATAAACGAATGATTTGACGCATCGTGTGGCAGTTGAATTTATTATAAGAGACTTAAATAAATTTGTATTTTTCAAAAACGAATGATTTGACACATCATGTGTTATTGTTGAATATGTTACAAGACATATTTGTATTTTGCACCGCAATCATCGGTCTATTAAAGAGCATCTTGATCACGTTTTTATATGTAGTTTCCACTTTTATTAAGAAAAGAAAAAAATATTTGCTTCCCAAACAATAAGATTATCTTTCACAAGGCAGATCTAATTGTTCATTGCTCAACAAATATATACTCCTTTCGTCTTTTTTTTTTTTTATTGTCCGGCTTATAAATTATAATGCGGACAACAAAAAGAGAAGAAGGTAATAATAAACTAATATTCTTTTACTTATTCACTGCACTTGATATTTTTATATAAAATAAATGAAACAATTCCCCCCATTTATATAATACGAGTACTAGTTTTGAATAATAGTAAATAGTAATATTTTGAAAAAAATAAAATAAAATAAAAAATTGTGAGATATAATGTCAATTTCGACATTTCATACCACGGCTTATTGCAGTGTGACTAAACTCAACTCAAGAGATACACCTTCAGTGAATCAATACGGGAAGCATATTCTTGCACCCACCTTAATTTATTGGATTAAATAATACCCCAATTGACAGTCTTATATAATTATATTGCCATTATAATATTACATATATGTATATATAATGTAATCATTCTGCTAGCTACTTATTGAAGTACCATATAATAATGTACAAATAAATATCTTACAAGTTGTGTTACGCGACATTATAACCTATGTTACATTGGAATAAAAATAAATATAATATGATATGACGAGATAAAAGACAAAATTAATTTCATTGGAACCACCATACCCATAGCTGGAAATAGCAATTCTGTAGCTAATAATTAGTTGCATGTAACACCAAAAAAGTTTGGTGTGGAATCATAACCTACCTTCAACCATTCTCAGCAAACATGGCTTTAGAGACACCACCTCTAACCTATCACTCAGTCTGTGTCCTTTCACCTGTACAAAACATTAATTAATTATATATATATATTCATGGTTTAATGTGTGTGTGTATATATATATATAATTAGTGTGAATTTGGAATAGGAAAATTATAAGCTGACCTCATGAGAGAAAGAATAGTTAGTAAGGTGACATGTCTCTACATTAACACCAAGCAGCTTCCTCACATCAAGTATCTTGTCAGTGGAGATGCCCTTCAATTCCATACAATTACATTAATCAAACAATATATTAATTAGTTTTAAAGTGAAACTAATAAATTCGACAATTTGAATTTGAAGAAAATTTGGTTTTAAATAATTGAAGACGTTGATTCGATAATTACAAACCTTGAGAATGACCTGTGTTTCATATGGGGTGATCACAGTTATGTCAAGAACACTAGGTACAACTGCAAAAGAAGAGTGGGAAAAAATTAAATAAATATGATTGTGAATTACAAGAATCATTAACTATGTAGTACTGTATATAATTGTGTGTGTGTGTGTGTACACATATACAGATATATAGATATATAACCTTTTTCTTCTTTCTTCCTCTTGTCTGATTTAGCTTTATTGGTCTTCCCTCTGCCTGACCTTGGAGCCATTAATTCCACTGAGAGAGCTTTATCTAATTGGAGCCAAGTTCAAGAATTCATTTAGAGCTAATTAAAATTTGATATTGAAAATATGGGTTGTACAAAGAAAGCATGCAAAAGGAGAAGAGAGAGAGAGAGAGAGAGAGAGAGAGAGAGAGAAGTGTAAAAAAGAAAAAAGAAAAGAAGAGAGAGAGAATAATATTGGAAAGGTGGGTTGAAACATGAAAGAGGTTTTAAAGGATAGAAAGTGATGAAGAGGAAATCTAGTGAAGGGTTTGTAGAAGATAGGATAAGGGTTTTGGGTTTACCCTCTTTTGGATTTGTGAGCAATCCTGACCTCTCCTTCCTGCTTGCCTGATTTTCTTCTCTCTCTCTCACACACACAACACACACAGTCTCTCTTTCTCTCTCTAGGTGTTAATCCATGTGATGTCCTTTTAAGGGAGTAGAAGAGAGCACAGCCCATGAATCAAGACAAAACGAAATGGGGGTGGGGCCAGGGAGGTGGACCGTTCAATTTGTGACACGTGGTCGATGCTCTTAACTCGGCATTTTTGTTTTTTCATGTGTTGGGGCCTCGTTTGTCACCACCGGTGGGGTGAAATTAATCTTTTTGAGACTAATAATTTAGCACTTATGATGTGTATCCAATTTTTTACTATTTAATAATTCAATCTCAATGTTGTCACATTTTCCATGGTAATTTAGTGTTTGTTTCTAATCCCACTATAAAAATATACTTTCCATTTAATTAACTCACTCTCTGTATACATATATATATATATATATATATAAATGTATGTGTGCACACAGTACATGTGTGTATGTGTGTGTATATATGTGTTGGTAACAAGTGACAACATTCTGCTGACATTAGAGAATTTGGATGAATCAAATTGTGAATTGACCGTCTATGGGAGTTGACTGGTTTGTCTCGAAGGCTCCGGCATTGGCAATTGGTTCTAGGGTTTTTGTCCTCCATTAGCTGCTGCTTGCTAATGTAATGGAGCACTAAGAAACACGTAGTAAGGACAGTCACATTTACACTGTGTATATATATATTAGGTTTTTTTGGTATATCATGCATAGTCTATGATTTTTACGTACTTACTGCAATATCGTTACCATTCAAAAATAAAAAAAATAATAAAAAAATAAACTGCAATATCGTTGACATATATATATATATCTCACAAGTTTGTAGGTTTGCTAGATCCTATGTTGTGACACGATCATATGCGTAATAGTTGAAAGCAGTTATCATTTAATGATATGATCGTTTTTCATGTGTTTGATGTAATTTGTAATAATTTTCTCAATCCTAATTTCTTCTGGGCTGGCATGGTTCGCGTGTGCCTAATTAATCCAAAAACTTGTCAACCACTTTGGAAAGTACGGAGTAAAAGCTTAAGGATAGTAATGGCCACAGTATAAGTGAGCTTGATTAGACTTGGTTGTGTTGAAGTTAAAATAGGTATGCTAATTAAATATGTTGTGCTTGTGTTTTATATATTATTAATTTGTTTATAATCGTGTAATTAAACATATCGTATTCTCATATTCTAATAATATGAAATTTGAATGAAATGTATACGTCACTTATTTATTAAACATGTTATATTAAGCGCGTTGTGTTGATCCATGTAATAAAAATAAGAACTTAAAACAAGACACACATAATAAGGCTTTGGATGTGGTATCTCATCATAAATTTCTGTGTAGTCTATTGTGTCCCTTAAATAATTAATGATGTCTCATGAAGTATCACGTCTTTGGGAAAACAATTAATTTTTGTTAGGGTACCCACAAGGGTTAAGTTGAAGTTAGGCTAAACCTGGACTTGCCCTGTGCACGTGACTTGTAGGATGTTGCGTGTGTCTTGAGGTGGATTAATCTCACCCGTAAAGTGTGGGATACCTCCTATGTGTGAAAAAAATAATAAAAAATAAATAAAAAATAAAAAATAAAAAATTGAGAGAGCTTTATCAGTAAGATGGTTAGGTCTTGAGAAAACCAGAATTCTGTTAGATTTTGTTTTTTTTGGAGCTTCCTATTATTATACAAGAAAGTAACTTACTGTAATTTGTTATATGTAAATATCATTGCTTTATCAGGAAGATGGTTTGGTCTTGAGAAAACCAGAATTCTGTTAGATTTTGTTTTTTTGGGGGCTTCCTATTATTATACAAGAAAGTAACTTACTGTAATTTGTATCAACTCCAAAACCATCTCTTGAGATGCCTATGGAATCACCATTTGCTTTACTCAATAATTAAACCCCTTTAAAAAGATTTAACCTATCTGTCTTCCATCACATCATTAACCCATTTAAGGACTCATATATATACTTCATCAAGTATAGGGCCAAAAATTCTTTTGCTGTTACTTTTATATAAAACAGAACCCATATTTTTGCATGAAAAAATATACTGTATATGTTTGGTGACAAAAAAGGTTGAACAATTTGCATTGAATTATTCAGAGAAGGTACAACTAAAAAGTTCTCATCAGTAGGAGGACATGTTTACGCAAATCTCAATTTTTGATCCATTTTCTTATGCTTCATGGCTCATGATGGTAAACCTTAGTTGGGTTTAAAATTTCACCTCTAGTTACAATTACAAAGGGTTGAATTTTAAGACTCGAACCCTCGACTTCTTCTTTAAAGAGAAAAAATTATAACATTTGGACTGATGATTTGAATTATCTACCTCAGTGACACTTTGCTTCCTTTGGAAAAACATGATAGAAAAGACAAAGATAATAACATTAGTTAATTATAATAGAAAAAGAAAGGAAAAATGAAAGGAAAAAATATCAACAGTTTTTATTCATGTTTGGGTATATTAAGAAGGATAAAAAATAAAAGGACAGTATTTTTGTTTGAAAAATGTAAAGGAGAGAAAAGAAAACAAAAGATAACAACTAAATTACTATTATACCCTTTTATAAGATGAGACCTAAATGTTATAACAAGTTTCTTCTTTTTATTGTTGAAGGGTAATTTAAGGATTATGAAAGTATTACTTAACTATTAACTTTCTTTTCAAATCTTTCCATTTTTTAGAGTAACATATAGAGATTTGAAAGGATAGCCCCAATCCTTTCTTTTCCCTTCATTTAAGACAATTCAAACACATTTCACACTATTCATTCTTAAACGGAGTCTGATTCACACTACTGCACAAAATGAGCTCGTCTTGAGTTTGGGTGTTGGGAAATTAATACCAATTAGTATTAGAAATATATTAGGCTATTATTTATTAGTATTAAGTTGATTTACTTAATATGTTATTTTCTTGTTTATTTTCTTAATTTTTTTTATATAAAAATGCTATTGTAATAAAATCAGAATATTGTCAAAAGATTATCGGTAGTTAATCTCCAATCAAATGATTAATATAGATTTGAACCATAACATCCATTACCATGAGAGCCGCTGATCATTATCCCCCATATTATATAGTATAATGTAAATATGTAATATGCTACGTACCGTGTACGTATATAAATCATGACATAAAGGAATTGCGAAAGTACTAACAACCCATTTACAACACCCTGTCAATTTTTTAATATGAAAGAGGGATCCAATGATGAAACACTAATCATAGCAATGCAAAACACCATTACATAATAAAGCACGTGCTGCACATGGGGAAACGCAATCAAAAATATCCCAAAAAAATAATTTTAATATATAGATTGCCCAAGTCCACCAGCACGGACTAAAGATTATGTTGGTTAAAGGATAGCAATATAAAGCCCTAACTTCTTACCTATATATATATATATATATATATATATATATAAAGCCCCACCAAGTAAGGAGATATCGACCACCTTTTTTTTTCTTTTTTTCTTTTTTTCGGAAAGTGATCACTTTTTCCACCATGTGTTATGTATGTCTATACATGTAACAGGTCGTGCAACCTTCGCTCTATGATTTTGACTTAATGTATTATACGTTTACCAAAAAAATAATAAATAAACAGTCGCTTTTTGTATGTCCCGAACACTGTTCAAAGGACCCCCTTGAGTAAAAGAAGAGTCAACCCTTCGACCTAATATTTCAGGAGATGCCAAACTCCACCCCTTAAAGTTATTATAAACTTATCAATTAAACTTTATTTCAATTTGAAATTGTGTTGTCGTACTTTACAATCTAAATTTTAATTGCTATATTATATCAAATAAAACCTTAATTTATTTTAAGACCTTTTCAATACTAGAACACAAGTCCTGGGAAGACCAAATAAATTACTGAACCTAAATCCCTATGTCCAATAAAGAGATCCATGAATTTTTTGATGTGATCTTCATTGTCACTCTTATCTTTATCAGCTTTGACATCCTTTTCAGCTGTAGATAGACATTTTGTTGAACTACAAAATCCTATATTTTGTGCAAGTACTTGCCTAACACATGACTCAATATAATAACATTATTCCCCATTGATAATTCTGTAATAAAACTAAAAACAATATAAACATAAGAAGAATGATTAATTCTTCATCAACTAACTTCAGAGCTATCCCAGCCTTTCTCAGTCGTGACCACCCTGACTTTACCAAGAACAGATTAAATGGACAACAATGTCCAAAACCCTTCTTAGAGTTCAAATTAGAACCCTCCTCCTTTATTTACAGGGGAAAAAAAAAAAAAAAAATCCTCCTCAGTGAAAAACGCAATTTTCAGGAAAATTACATGCTTTGAAAGTGATAAGGAAGACAGAAAATAAAACTTTGTTGTTAACTTGGACATACAGAATGAAAAGTTGATATTATCAACGAATAGCTAAATAATTCTATCCGTATTTTCCTAGATAATGTCATGAAAATTAGTTCTCACCTTCTTAAGATGCATTGAACCATCACTTGAAGACCTATGTATTCCTTCCCTGAGAGAGATACTGCTCATAAATCACATAATTTCATCAAAACAGCATGCAAACATCATTTACAAAAAAGATATATTTTTCTCTAGTGTAGTAGTAAGAGGCAGAAATTGATTCTATTTACATTTACAAAAAATATATATTTCTTGTATGAAGAAAGCAAACATAACTTTCGTACAATCAACAGCTCAGAAGCTAAATAATAACGCTTGCACAAGCCCAACTTTGAATGTAAACCGGTGATTTATGCAGCAAGATTAGAGAAAGAATCGCAAAGCATCAACAACTTTCTCAGGCCTGTTAATATAGCATGATCAGAATCTTTTAAAAATGATAAATCGGGTAATAACTATGAATATTATGTTGTAGTTAGTTACCAGTCCTCCTGTGGCATATGGCCAGCACCTTCTATCAACTTCAGCTTGACAATAGTAGGGTTTCCTTTTTGAAATTCTTCCGCTATTGATTGAGGAAGATACTTATCCGATATTCCCCAGGCAACTAATATCGGTTTATCCCATCTGAAGCCAAGAAGCAATTTTTCATATCAAGGAACAGATGAAGAAATGCAGGTCAGCAGCATGAAGAATAGTTTTTAAATGAACTCTTGTAAAATATAAAATACAATTTTGCAGACCATGATCACTATTTGCATGTGTTTTTTATCTAAAGCTTTGGATCTAAAAGACTCTGAGTAAAAAATAAAAGGAAAAACAATGAAATATCTCTGGATTGTTTCGTTCTTTTTTCAGTGTTCAATAAAATGCCTCAAGGAGAAGTCCATTTACTTCCTCTTCACTTTTCGTGTAACTTGACCACAACTACACGACTTTCCCTCAGGAAAAGTTACTTGTGATATATTCCAGCAATCGATTTTATATGGAAATTTTTTCTTTTGAGAAGGTCCTATGATGCTCAGATTGCCATTTTAATATTATATTGCTTCATCCAGCTCAAAATAATGAAGCCATATTCCAAATAACATCAATCCCAGTACCTATATATATTTACTTACAGAAAACTATCCAGAACCATCTGTGCCCGTGTAACGTTACCAATTATGTTTACCTTCCAGACGCAAAGCCAGCTGCAATTTGGCTTGAGATGTCTTTGAAGTTGGCTTTTTTCGCACATTCAAGCAGAGCTGAAACACCAAAACATACCAAAAAAGATTTTTGAAGTTCTAGTGAAGTTCACATTTGCTCACGTACTCATTAAGTTATTAACCAAAAGAGCTCATGTTTAAGAAAAGAGGGTATACTTTAAGAAAAACAAGGAAAAGGTGAACATTATATGTCTATCTGGATGATTATAGATAACTCTCACTAAACATCGACCATTTTGTGCAACTCTATTTGTTACATCTAGTTCACAAAGTAAAATCAATTCATTATTTTTCTCACAATTTTTAGTACAAAATTTAGATGTCTTTTGATAATACAGAAAAAAATAAAGAAAAAAAGACAATGCATGCATGGCAGCAATTTGTGTATGTCAAATAAGTTGAAAACCAAATTGGTCAGTACATGTGGAATTCAGATACGTATAATTTACACCTGTCTACTATGGAAAAACAAAAAACAAAAAACGTCATAACAGTGTAAAAAGCAGGCAGAATTACAAACCAAATCCAGGTCCACTGCTAGACAAATATGGTAGTCGATAAACATCAGCCTTTTCCAGCTTTAGGACATAACTGTCAATAAAATAAATGTTTGAGAGAAATAACATAATAGAAATAGGAAATTTTAACAGCTCAATCTTACCGGATACAAAAGAATAAATAAATGAATAAAACTAATTGAGCTAGTATTAAGCTGTCAAGCAACATTGATGTTCACTCCATACTTCTACTTTTATATCTGGTTAGCAATTAAATGAAATTTTGCACATTTACTGCATGCCTTTTGGATTACCAACGTTTGGCAGAAATGTTTACTCCACCATTTCTACATTGTTGGAGATAACCTCTCCTGAAAACTATTAGCATGCTTTCTCTTTGTGTGATGTAAAGCTTACAAAAATATACTAGGATCTTCAGATTAGATGAAAATTTAATTTCCACTAGAAGTCAATTTTGACACTGAAGAAGGCACACAGATTCATGCGCAAGCAGATTTAAGGACACACCTTGTAAGACCATATACATGATTTATAACATCTAAGAAAGTAAAGTAGAATGCAACATAACAGTTTGAAACATTTTAGGTGCCCGGTTGGTTGGTGCAGTAAACAAAAGAAAATGTAGATGACGACAATGTGAAAGAAGGTATCTTAGCTTCTAGTTGAAGACAGGAACCAAACATGCTTTTAGGTAATGAAATTGGGTGTCGAGATATTCATACATATAGACACACACACACACATATCATTGGCATAGCATGTGACACTTGTACAATAGAAGATGGCAAGACAAGAAATCGAATTTTGATTGTAATCCACACTCATGAGAAAGCTAGAAGCAACACCTTTAAGAAAGACGACAAGAAATTTACAAGATATGGTGGTCATTTACAGTGAACTAGTGACTGTAACAGCGAGGACTGATATGTTCAAATGTGCTAAAAGGACAAGTGACTATGAAAAAAAATTGGGGTGAAGTAAAGAGCATAGAAATGAGATATGTTGCTTTGTTGAAATAATGACCTTAGATCGAGACAAGAGAAGACGAAAACGAAATTATGTGAGGTAGAAAGCATAGAAATGATGACCCATAGTTTTGTTAAAATAGTGGCCTAGGATAGAGTACAATGCCAAAATATATTTGTTTAGACTTTAGGGATCTCAAGAAAATGGTTAGGTCTCATTGAGTTTACTCAACCCACAGAGATGGTTTTTGATATTTTCACTAGGAAGATTACCAATCACCAATTGAAAGAACTAAAATTGTTTATGAAGATGCAAGAAAAATGCTCTCTCAATTTAGAACGAATAATTCTACACTTCAAAAATATTTCGATCCCTTTTCCCTCTATTTTCAGTCTATTTATAAACTGTTACAACCATTCTTGAAGCTTTCTAACTGATTTCCTTTTGATGGGTTGGCCTTTTGAGTTCACCTTTGTTTTGGGCCCATTTCCTTTTGTCTTAGTTCGGGCTTCCAAACTGACCCTCCGGTACTAGGCTTGCTCAGTGAGGACTTGGTTCATTTCAGTTGCTCTTACCCGACCTGTTCCTAGCAATCTAGATCATGCTGGGCCCAGTCTATTTTTGGTGTCCTCGTTTGCCCCCATAATCTCTCCCTAATTAATTAGGGTGAGATTATCGAAAGGACATAATCATGATGTGACGGCTCGAGGTGATGACGTGGGGAAGCGAACGGTTAGTTCAGAGAACGGCGCTTTGAGATTTGCTGCACCATTACTGCCGTGGTTTCTTAGTCGTTGAATCATTTCCTCTTTAAAAACCTTAGCCTCCCATTACTTATCTTTCTTCTATTTCTCTCACCTTCATCCTCAAGCTCCATCTTTTCCAATTATCTCTGTCAACTTCCAGTTTCCTCCGGCAAACTTTCCTTGTCTTCTTCGGTGAGTTTCCCCTTCGTGATTCTTCAACTTTCAAGATGCACTCTGCAAACTTCTTTTCCAAGGTTAGTTCATTTCCCTTGCTAATTTCCTTAGAAAAGAGAAAACTTAAAACTAAGAGATCCCCCATTTTTAATGGCTCTGGATTTGGATGCTCTTCGTTCGAGGAACAATATTCCTAATAACGTTTCCCTTCGAGTTCACCCCACAAACCTGGACGAGAGATCCGGGGAGGGTCTTCTTCCTGGCAAGATCCTATTTTCGGTTCTCCATTTGAATGTAATTAGATTTCCCCTACACCCGTTCTTCTGTTATGTCTTTAGTCAATTAGGGCTTTCCCCTCTTCAAGTCAACCCCAACTTTCTTAGGGTAATATCAATTCTGCTGCTCCTGAACCGTGACAGGAATCTAGATCTAGACATCATAGATCTTCTTCTTTACTATCGAGTCACCAAAATCCAAACCAATGAAATGTACTTTCACCTCTTCCCCGTTGAGAAACGGTCTATATGTACGGACAAACTGTCATCTAAAAAGGGTTGGAGGAAGAACTTAATTGGGATCAGTGGAGATTGGCAAACTCCGCTCGGTCTGACTTTCCCTATCCCAACCATTTTCGGAGAGTGTTCTGTCCCTCTGTATAAGAAATATAAAAAACATTCGGCCGATTGCCCTTGTGAAATTTGCCTTCCTCGTTTCTGCACTTTTCTTTGTCATTGCCTTCACATCGATCATGATGAATTGGTTTATAGCGTTTGCAGGGCCAAACTTGACCTTCTGGAGGAGAGAGTTCTGAACGACATCCCTTCTGCCACCGACCTGCTCACCCCAGACAACCTTTTTGACATATCCATTCTAGGAACCACTATGGAGAATGTCCAGATTCCTTCTTTCAGCAGGAAAAGGCGTTCTGCAGCCACTCCCGCGACTGCACCTGCCACTTCGGTGGCCACTTCGACCGTCCCAGTTACGGCTCAGATCGTTGAGCGGCCTGGACCCTCTGCATCCAACTCAACTAAAGTTCAACCTGTTATGCCGAACGATAAACCCTCCGACACTCCAAACGAAACTTCTCCACCTGCCACCCAGAACGCCGAGGGATCCTCTCCGAATGCCTATGGTTCTTCCCTTGTCTGAACTCACGTTTCGGAGAAGAGCCTAGGCAAACGACCTCATCCTGAAAGCGGCCATAATCAGAGCACCCTTACTCCGGCCCAAAGGGCTCGGTCTTTGAGGGTCACCACGACTCTTCCTTCCCCTCGGGTAGTCATTCCAAAGGGTGAAATAGGCAGAATCTCTGCCTCTTCACCAACAGTGTCTCCATAGCGTCCCTTACTCAGATATGAGGACAGGTCAGTCGTTGCCCCCACAGACTCTTTGTTCAAAGACCCAGTCACCTCATTTGCTTTTTACAAGGGTCTTTGGTCCCCAAAGACATTGAGGTTTAGAACAAAATGACCTTCAATAAAATATATCAACGTTTTCCAGCAGCTACTGTTAAGGTAATTCTTCCTCTTTTTTATATCTTCCGTACCAACCTTCCTTTGTTTTTCCTGTTTTGATTATTTAACACTTGTACTTTCTAAACCACTTGTGTCTTTGTGCAGACTCTATTTGGGATGTTCACATTCCAGAAGAGTATTGAACATGCAAACAAGAAAATCAAATCCTTCTCAGCCGGTCTCAAAAGATCTGTTTACTCAGAAAGGATAACCGAACCCAAAAACACAGAGCTGTTGGTTAAACTGAACGAGTCAGAGAAAGAGATGGACGCTCTGAGGGCTGAGAGGAATGCCCTAATGAACGAGCGAGACTCTTTTCAGGATGAGCTGGACATTCTGAAAATTGAGAAAAATGTCCTGCAGATCGAGAGAGACGCTCTGAGGGCTGAGAAGGGAGACCTTCAGCGTACTCTAATTGTTGAACGGTTGACCCATTTCAATTCTCAGGAGAAGTTCTTAAACAAACGCACCACTCTGCTGAATGTCATTGGCAGAGTTGGTGGTGGCATGAAAGCTCTTCACGCTCGTTTCTCTCGGATTGGGGCTCTGAGTTATGCAAAGGGATACAGAGATGATTTTATTAACTGTTCTCCCCCTGAGGGTGAGTCGAGCACCTATGCGGGCCCAGATGAGCTAGATGCCTCCCTGGACATTGACCCGCCGAACACTTACCAGCATCCACTCCCTGCTCCTGCTGAAAACATATTCATTGAGTGCAATGAGATTGCAACTTCAAGGGAGATCCCACATATTCGTCCTCTAAATGTTCCTCCCATCACCACCATTACTCCAGCCACTGCTGCTGCTACTGTCAGAGATCTACCAACTGATGAGGTCATTCATCTTGACTCTCCCTCCAAAGGCGATGAAGCAGCCAAGGATGATGGAACAGGCAACGGATCAGGCATAGGAGAGGATGCAACATACTAGAGTTCTGCTGGCTTTTGTATTTATCTTCTTTCATTTCAATGTCACTCTTGTACTTCAAAAACTATTTTATGATGATGAATGAAATGACAACTTTGTTTTGCAAAGCTTTTATACTCCATCTGTGCTTAAATGAACTGACAGTTTAATTTTTCTATTTGATTTTCATTTCACACAAGTGTTTGGCGTTTGGCTCGTAGTGCCACTTGCCACTTACTTGGCTTAGTGCTTGGCCCACGGCTAGAATGCCACTTGCCACTTGGCTTTTATTTCGTGCAAGTTTTTGGCGTTTGGCTCGTAGTGCCATTTGCCACTTACTTGGCTAAGTGCTTGGCGCTCGACTAGAATGTCAATTGCCACTTGGCTTTTATTTTGCATAAGTTTTTGGCGTTCGGCTCGTAATACCATTTGCCACTTACTTAGCTAAGTGCTTAGCGCTCGGCTAGAATGCCACTTGCCACTTGCCACTTGGCTTTTATTTTGCGCAAGTTTTTGGCGTTCGGCTCATAGTGCCATTTGTCACTTACTTGGCTGAGTGCTTTTCTGTTCAATCAACCTTTTTTTAAAAAAAAAACATAATGAAATCTTTTTTATAAATCTCAGAGAGTACGTACATTTGTAAAAGCATAATTCTAAATGAACATTGTTCAGAATGGAATTCAACCTTTACTGGTAGTACCTTTTTAGAGATGTGGTATTCCATAGTTTGTTGACCAATCTCCCAGCCATGGTCTCTAAATTGT